CTGAGAGAACAAAGAATGATTCAGACATCCAGCTCAACAAGTAGATGAGTTTATTAGGACTTACATGCAGGGCACTTCTGGACGGCCGCAGGAGAGCTCTAGAGATTCGCAACTACCACCTGTCTTTAAGCTCCTTCTAAGCTAATTTTCTGGCTCTTTGCCTACTGCATTTGAGCAATGAAACTTTCTCTTGGTAGGTTCTCAGGGACACCTGCTTCTTGGCTGGGCACCATAGTCGTGGCTCACCACCCAGGCTTAAGGGTTCAGACAGTAGATATACACCTTTAAATAACCTGAGGACCTGGCTGGGCATGGTGTAATCCTAACACTTTGGGAGGCTGAGGCAGGCAGATCACTTGAGATCAGGAGTTTGAGACCAGCCAGGCCAACATAGTGAAACCCCATCTCTACTTAAAATACAAAAATTAGCTGGGTGTGATAGTTCATGTCTGCATTCCCAGCTACTTGAGAGACTGAGGCAACAGAATCACTTGAACCTGGAAGACAGAGGTTGCAGTGAGCCAAGATCACGCCACTGCACTCCAGCCTGGGCAGCAGAACAAAACTCCATCTCAAAACAACAACAAAATATCTGAGGACCCATCACATTACACAATTCCTCTTACACAATAGAGGTTCCATGAATGATTCTTCATGATCATAAGAAATCACATTCTCATACTTTGGGTTCTACTTTGACTCTGTAATCATGTAAAGAATAAATTAGAAAGGCCAGTTTGGTTCTTAGGGATAATTTGACTATGTTTTTTTTTTTTTAATCTTGTTAGCAAAAGACTTATTGTTTCACTTCAACTTTTCATCATGTGAAGAAAATCTGAAATGTATCTATTGAAGGTATTTTGCTGACACCATTCCATTCCTTCTAAATAACTGCTTACATACCACTTGTGACTATAGCACCTCAGGCAAGGAACTCTAATGGAGCCCTTGTGATTTGTGATGTCATTTTAATTCAGTGAAGTATAACTGTAACTCCGAGACCAACTTTTCATGGATTTTGTTTTAATGTTTTAAATGAATGTCAGCAGAGGATGTAGAATCTCCTTGCTTATAAAAGAGTAAAAATGGAAAACAAAAACATTCTCAACTCTAATAAAGGGAAACTGCAATGCCAGATACTCAAACTAATGCTAAATTATTTTATACTCAATATTTTATATTCAGTATTTAATACTGAAGAAATATCCAAACTTATTAGGCATGCTAAAAGACAGAGTCGTATGATCAAAAGTCAAGAAAAAATAGACAATAGAAAGTAACCCATAGGTAATCCGTGTATTAGATTAGCAAACAAGGACTGACTGAAATGTTCAAGAAAATAGACAAAAAGATATAGAAATTCACCACAGAAGTATAATCTATTTTTCAATGTAAATTATGGAACCAAAAAAATTTACAATAACTAAAATTAAGAGGAGCCAGGAAAATCAAGGGCATATGGCAACAGCAACCACAGAGCAGATGGGGAAATGTCACTATGCACATGGATGCTGATGCTGACTCAGCTGCACCTCTGGAGCCCTGTGTCAGGCTGGAACCCTGAAATCTAATGCAGACTCCAAAGAGTTGTGCACCCATTTTAAAAAATAAAATTTCAAAAATGTAAACTCTGACATTTATATTCAAGAGTATCCTCCTAATACTACATTGCAGTTAATAGGTACCAAAACATAAAGTTCTCTGTCAAGAGCAATTCTTCAAGAAGCACATGCCTGTAGTCCCAGCTGCTCAGGAGGCTGAGATGGGAGGATGCCTTGAGCCCAGGGGGTCCGAGGCTACAGTGAGCCATGATCACGCCACTGCACTCCAACCTAGGTGATGGAGTAAGATCCAGTCTCCCCGTGCCCCCCACACAAAAATTGTCAAAATGATTCTAAACCCAAGTACATTTTTAAAATTTTCTGTCATGACATTTAAAACTAGTTGGACAACTAGCTGTTGCTCTATTTATAAAGGATTAGGGAAAAAAATGATGGCACAGCAATTGCCAAAAAGCTTTCTTTAAAATGACTGCATAAGGGTGGCTGATACAGTTTGGCTCTGTGTCCCTTCCAAATCTCATGTTGAAATGTAATTCCCAGTGCTGGGGGAGGGACCTGGTGGGAGGTAACTGGATCTTAAGAGCAGATTTTCCCCTTGGTGTTCTCATGGCAGTGGGTTCTCACAGGATCCAATGGTTTAAAAGTGTGTGGCACTCCCCACTTCATTCTTTTCCTCCTGAAGACATGCTTGCTTTCCCTTTGCCCTTCTGCCATGATTGTAAATTTCCTGAGACCTTCCAGCCATGCTTTCTGTACAGCCTGTGGAACCATGAGCCAATTAAACCTCTTTTCTTTATAAATTACTCAGTCTCAGGTAGTTCTTTATAGCAATGTGAGAACAGACTAACACAGTGGCTATCCCTGGCGCTGTGGCCAGATTTTCTACAACTAATTTTATAATCCATATTTCAGACTTGGACCTGCCTAACATTAAAGCATACATTATAACCAACATTATGAATTCAGAGTCACAGAAAAGATGCTAGGGAGTTTTTTGGTTAAATAATTCCCTTTAAAAGCGGGGAGGGGTTGGTCTTACACAAAATAACAACAAACCCAGAGCCAGAAGGAAAACTGCTTTATTATTATTATTTCTTTTTTCTTTCTTTTCACATGTTTGCCGCAGGAAAACAAGGCGGCTCAGCTCATGGCAGTCCTGATGATGATCCCTGAGGGCTGATCTTGGCCTCCAGCCTTGGCTGAGGAGAAAAGGGGTAGCTTATTATTAATGATCAAAAACAGACATGTGATCTACCTCAGCATAGGGAAACTTGGATAGGTGACTTGGCAAACCATGGATGATATTTAGAAAGCTATTGTTTGGTTAACTTTTAAAAATAATCATTTTGCTTATTTATACTTTATGAGTAAAATACAAAGAGAAACTGTCTCCTGGAAATCAATCATGAAATTACAATGCAGATAGAATAATTGAGATAGAATAGATGAGATAGAATAATTGCATGAAACTCCAAGAGATATTTAAAGACAATGATATTGACTGGTAAGGTTGAGAGTAATCAAACATCCTCTCCTTTCATTTCATTTCTCCGTTTTATTTTTGGCACAAATTTTCATTGCTCGTATTCTTATTTCCCCTTCTATTGTCTTAAAATCAATGTCAACAGGCCAAACTCTTGCTAACCAATCTATAATAATTAACAGCCCAGAAAAGAGAAGCAAATCTATAAAAATGAGGAAATTAAATATTTTCTTTTCTATAAGGCAACCAAAAGAGTATACAAATATTGTTTTACTAAGAGCTTATGATGTTCTTGGAAGACAAAAAGGAGGCAGAGATTATTTCCCCTGTTTTGCTGCCTAGGAGATGAAGCCAGTATTGAAAAGGTGACTTGGTAAAGGTCATAAGCAAGCAAAGCGCTTCTGAGATTCCCATGCCTTGGGAAAGCTGAAGCAAAGCGCTTCTGAGATTCCCATGCCCTGGGAAAGCTGAAACACTCTCTTGCTTTCACTTTCCTTGTTTTCTTTTCTTCTCTTGTCTTTTCCTCTCATTCAAAAGAAAACTTTAAAAAATTAGAATCAATTCAACAATATTTAGTGTGTATTTGTTCTACACAAAGTATCATGCAGGACAAAGTATCATGCAGGACAGTCCTTGATTTAAAGGAGTAGTTAAAAATCACTATTCTAGCCTGAATCCTCACAGCTGCTCAGCCACTCACTTGTTTACCATTTGCTATGCATATTTATCTGCTAAGATAACTGTTCCAAAACTCCTTTTTCTTAAAGCTCCCAACTTCAACACTGCTCCTTTGACTCTTGACTTTGCTGGCCTTTCTTTTTTTTTTTTTTTAGATGAAGTCTTGCTCCGTCTCTCAGGCTGGAGTGCAACGGTGCAATCTCAGCTTACTGCAACCTCTGCCTCCCGGGTTCAAGCGATTCTACTGCCTCAGCCTCCCAAGTAGCTTACAGGCGACTGCCAACATGTAGGATTATAGGCACCTGCCACTATGTCCAGCTAATTTTGTATTTTTAGTAGAGTTGGGGTTTTGCCATGCTGGCCAGGCTGATCTGGAACTCCTGACTTCAGTTGATACACACTCCTCAGCCTCCCAAAGTGCTGGGATTACAGGCGTGAGCCACCATGCCCGGCCACGTTTATCATTTCTTTCTGGTGAGAACATTCAAAATCCTCTCTTCTAGCTTTTTTTAAATATACAATATTTTTAACCATTGTCACCCTACTGTGACTAGAACACCAGAACTTCTTCTAACAGTCGCTTTGTACTTTTTGACCAATTGCTTCCTATGCCCCCATTCCCTTCCCCTCCACAGCCTCTGGTAACAACTATTCTATTCTCTACTTCTGTGAGATAAACTTTTTTAGATTCCATACATAATTGAAATCATGTTTGTCTTTCTGTGTCTTGCTTATTCCACTTAGCATAGTGTCCTCCAGGTTCATCCATGTTGCCACCATTCCACTACTGGGTATCTATCCAAATGAAATGAAATCAGTATGTGGAAGAGACATCTGTGCCCCCATGTTTATTGCAGCATTATTCACAACAGCGTATAGAAGCAGCCTAAGTGTCCATTGACAGATGAATGGATAAAGAAAATGTGGTGCTTATATACAAAGAAATACTATACAGCCTGTGAGGAGAAGAGCTCCAGTTCCTTCAGAACCCTCCTGAGGGGGCACCATGGCAGCTTCAGGAGGACCTGGGGCACCATCCCAGGGAAGAAACAGCTTCTGTCTGTGGGCACAGCTGCTGAGGAGGAAACTTTGGTGTGGATTCTCTGGGGCATTTTTCCTACCTCATCCATGTATGTTGCTGTAATGACATGATTTCATGAATTTTTAAGGCTGAAGAGCATTCCATTGTGCATATATATTGCATTTTCTTTATCCCTTCCTCTCTTCATGGACAGCATCTTGCCTCAGGAATATGAGAATGTTGTGGAGTCCTGATAAGTAAGCGACAATAAAGAAGGGGCCTCAGGTGGGGAAGGGCCCCAGGTGGAGAACAATGAACAACTGTTCTGAGAGATGACCTCTGCATGCAGCCCCCTCTAGCACAACCCTATAAAACTTCCCTCCAGCCCTTGCCTTTTTGCAGGCAGCCCCTTCTCTGCTGTGCTGCCCGTTGCAATCTTGCAATGTATTTTCATATTTTCTCTAATAAATCTGCCTTTCTCTACCTACAACTATCTTGGTAAATTCCTTTACCACCTGCACCACCAGTCCGGCCCCAGATAGTCACATCTGTGATGTTTTGGTGGCCTGTACAGGGACTGTTCGGGGACCTCTTCCCCTACTCTCTCCTTTTCCTGTCCTCCAACTCTAACCTCTTGGTGATAGCATCCAAGCACAGAGACAGCTGAAGGTCCCCAGCCAGGGCCACTCCTCAGCAGACCAGAAGGTCCCTGTGAAAAGATGTCTGACTACCACTGCCTGATTAGGTGAGAGTTCAGAGTTTGCTTTCCTTTCCTGTCTTCCAGCAGACGAAGTCTAGCATCCCTCTGGCAATTGATCGCAACTGGCCAGGCCCACACCTTGTTGTAGCCTGAAGGCCAGAGGGTAAACAACTTTGGCTGCCTTGTCCAGAAGGGAGGAAGACCCTCTCCTATCCTTTCTGGTTAAAAGTCCCCAATCCCTTTGTGTGGCACAATTGGCACACAGGTTTTGGGGAACTCAGACTCCCTCTTTCTCACTCTAAATTCTCCCATGAAGACAGCCAGACATCCTGCTTTGGATGCTCCCAAATCAGGTGATCTCAAGTGGCCTCAGAGCAGTGAGTGTCTCCATTCCTGTCCCTTCTCCAGGGCTGGCAGCACTCTGTCTCTCTTTACCCTTTTTCCTCATACCTGGGCTGATCACCCAACTTAAGGCACCAGCACTGAAAGGTCTGTTCTAATGGGGGTGGAACGCCCCTTTAGAAAGTGCACTTGTATCCCTTTGTGATGTGAGCAGAACCCTTTTCCTCAGCAGGATGCCCCTAAAGAAAGTGTGGTTCATGTTCCCAGCAGACATTACCTCCCAGCAGCTCATCATTTTCTAGTCCCAACATGGGACAAACCCCATCTATTTCTTCAGACTCACCTCTGGGCTACATCCTAAAACATTAAGACAAATTTAACTCTCAGATTCTCAAAAAGAAGTATCTAATTTTTTTTTTTTTCAGTTTCATCTTTTTAATAAGCTCTGTGAAGGACATCCTAAGCAGTATATGAGACAAACAACATTTTTTTCTTCTGGTATTAAAAAAAAAGACATTTGCAAACATTTTAAAGCAACTCTTCTATATAGTCAGTTTGGTGATCTGAATTAAAGAAAATCCCTAGATAATCATGTTCCTGATGCAGATTTCTTATAGGTACATTTGGAAATTGCTTCCTAACCACAATAAATACTGTGTACAGGTTTTTAAAACATCCCTGGATACACATTAATTTTCAAAAACCAGTCTGGTCAAATGCCAGGACCAGTTATTGCTAGATCCAATAATCCAGAGAGCTCAAACTAAAAAACTGGTAAAAAGAAAAATACTCAGACCCTGCAAATGTTTCATAATTTGGCTTCAAATAGGAGGAAAAAATTTAAACAAAGATGGAGCTGTCTAAAAGGTCTTTAGCTACCTTGGGAGCTCAATTTAAAAACAAGAGGTTGATATACTATAAAATAAAATGTTTCCATGCAGCTCCAAAAACCTTTATAAATACAGCCTTTTGGAAGGATGATCCTGGATCAGAAGAGCTATTCCTTGTGTATATTATGTGCACATGTCTCATTTCAGTTGTCATAATTGCCTCTGTAATTCCTTCTGAGTAGCGTTCATAACCACCCTGGTTTCTGACATTATAGGGTCTGGACTGTCCATATCCATATCTATATCCTCCAGGTCAGCTGTCACACCTGTCACTCCCATTGTCCTGGTTCCCACCACTTCTAGAGTAGCTGCGACCACGCCCATGGGTCCCAAAAGCACCTCCTCTGGTTCCCCAGCAGACTTGCCTGCATGATCCACGCGGATCTGGTGACCATCCAGGGACTCTCCATTCATGGCTCTCATGGCATCTGAGGCATGCTCTGGGTTGGTGATGGTGACGAAACCAAAACCCTGGACCGCTGAGTTTCCTTGACAACCACCACAGAGATAGGCCCGAAGGTGCTGAAGTGGCCTTCCAGCACCTGCTCATCAGTGTTAAAGTTGAACCCTTCTTCAGTGGACATGGCAGCGAGTTCAAGTCTTGAAAATTAAAACTTAAGAAAGTCGAACAGACAGTGAGCTCAGAGGTGCAGAGAAAACAGGGCACATCTAATTTTCTTGTGTAATACATTAATAGCATGACCCCTATGCAGGAAATTCTCAAATTAGCCTCCTCAGTCTTTTATAACTGAGAGCAGAATAAAAAGGACAGAGCTAAGGGGAAAGAAAAACACAGAAAACACAAGGACAAAAGGCAGGCTCAACTGCTGGCTGCTTTATGAGCCCCCAGCCCTGTCTAGGTTGCCCTCAGAATATCCTCCAGGTAACTGCCATCAGTGCAGAAGGCCAGGCCACTGAAAGGCAAACTGTCCCAATGGGACAAATGGGGAAAAGCCTTACACAGTTTGCCCCCTCAGCCACAAGCTTGGCCATGGAAATGGGACTGCTCGAAGGGCCCCCAGGACAGAATCCCATCAGACAACCCTGATGGCCCTCTGCTGGGGTGGGGGTCTCCGCTCTAGCTGGCTTCCAAATCAAACATCATTACCAACAAAACAAAGCCAAAGGCAACTCCACAGGCAGCAAATAAAATTATAAATTTCCCTTTTGAGTTCAAAAGCTGTCTGTCATGGAGGCGCCTCCTCTACCCCTTTCTGGAAATAACCTTTTGCTTACATGGTAAAAACCTAGAAAATTACTATCTGGATGTTAACAACCTTTTAGATTGAGTCACTACTGGAACTGGGTAGACGGATAAAAGAAAAAGGTTAAATTGAAAGAAGGATGCAAAGTAACAACATGGTTAGTCTTAGAAAATTATCTTGAGCAGTTAAAATCCTTTGCAAGCTTGAAAATGCTTTAAACTCCTTCTGGAAAAAACAGCAGTCACCTTGTGCTGTAGATCAGTGGCTAAGCCCTATCAGCCCTATCACAATGCGTTCAAGTTTTGTCTTTCAAAGTGAGTCCTTTGTGGTTTAATACTTGTGGTATTTTTGCCCTTTATTGATTCTTTTCCCCTCCATGAACAGCTTCTGATTTCCTGTCTTGAAAGTTTCTTTTCTCTGAATTACCTTTGGGGCAATTCTAGATCTTGTAAATCACTGACCATCTCTTTGGAGACAGCTCATGTGTCTGTTTTGAAGTCTTCTTCTTGGTTAAGGCTTACTAATATCATGTTATAAATTACCTTTAGTAAAATATTCAAAAGCCAGAAATACTAGCCGTTTGTCCTGACTGAAATCTGGCAATAAAAGATTTTTAAAAGATTGTTCTTTTAAAAGCTCTGTAGTTAGAAATCAACTTAAAGCTGATATTTGGTCTGCACGTATACAGATATTGGTTTCAGAGAGAAAGCCCGTGCTTTCTAAAAACTTCTCAGTTGATGGAATTTTGTCTTAATTCTCCATTTCTGTCTGTGTATTTATATGTGATTATATAAAAGAGTTCTAATTGGCTTAAAGAAAAATAAGCACTTGGCCGGGCGCGGTGGCTCACGCCTGTAATCCCAGCACTTTGGGAGGCCGAGGCGGGCGGATCACAAGGTCAGGAGATCGAGATCATGGTGAAACCCCGTCTCTACTAAAAATAGAAAAAATTAGCCGGGCGCAGTGGCGGGCGCCTGTAGTCCCAGCTACTCGGGAGGCTGAGGCAGGAGAATGGCATGAACCCGGGAGGCGGAGCTTGCAGTGAGTCGAGATTGCGCCACTGCACTCCAGCCTGGGCGACAGAGCGAGACTCCGTCTCAAAAAAAAAAAAAAAAAAAAAGAAAAATAAGCACTTAAACATATTGTCAGAAAAATAAAACTTTAATGCCTTTTAGGTCCACGTGACATAATCTTTTAAAAAGACAGTTTAAAAATTATTGGTAAAGTAAAATAAAATATGTCATCAAAGTTCACACATTTAAACTAAATCAGGCAGTCAGATACTGTTTACTAGATGCTTTGAGGCCATAAACTGCTTCTGTGACTTTTAATAATTGACTTGTTTGTTTTATAGCCATTAGATTCCAGATAAGGCCTGGGGACATATGAAGTTAGCCTGGTCCCCTGGTTAGTCTGGGAAGAGTCTGACATAACCTGCAGCTTGTCCTGAGCTCTGCAATCTTATACATGGTTAAAATTACTCATCAGGGCAGAGCACGGTGGCTCATGCTTGCAATCCTAGCACTTTGGGAGGCTGAGGTGGGTGGATCATGAGGTCAGGAGCTCGAGACCAGCCTGGCCAACACAGTGAAACTCTGTCTCTACGAAAAATACAAAAATTAGCTGAGCATGGTGGCGGGCACCTGTAATCCCAGCTACTTGTTGGGGCGGGGGCGTGCCGAGGCAGGAGAACTGCTTGAACCCAGGGGAGGCGGAGGTTGCAGTGAGCCGAGATGACGCCATTGCACTCCAGCATGGACAACACAGCGAGACTCCATCTCAAAAAAAAAAAAAAAAAAAATTACTCATGAGATTTTTCACCAAAAATAACAGTTGCTGAGAGTTAACATTGTAACAGGTGCTTGAGACTGCTGGAGACACAGTTTTCATGCAAAGTATAGAAGGAAAGTAGAATATGCTTTTGGTGGGAGGTTAGAAGAAGGCATGAAAATATGGCTTTTGTTAAAGGGAAAGTACTTTTGTCTTGCTCAGAGGGTTTTAAGGATTGGCCTAACCTACAGGAGTAATGGAATAAAACTGAAGGTTTAAGCAAGTTAAAAAGTAAGTTGTGGAGGGCTGATCTTGTAAAAAGTTCTGTGGGTATTAAAAAACTGGCTAAGACTTGAAGGGAAGTATTTAGCTTTCCCATAGGTTGAAAATTGAAATAAAAGCACACTAATGCAGGTCCAGAATCTGGGCCCATGTGTCTGAATAATAGTTTTCTTAGATAATTAATCTGCCGTTTAACAGAAAACGATAAAAGGTTATAAGAGGCTTATGGAAATCTTACTTGATGGTCAAGCTAATAAAGATTGGACAGATTTGTTTGTAAGGTTTTATTAATAATTGGATTTAACATTAATAGAACACTAGTACAAAGATGTAATTTGGCTTTCTCTTTTAAACAAGATTTTCATGTAATATAAACAAAAATGAAATAATTTTGTTTGCCTTTTAAATGAATGACAGAAAAAGGAGGGAAGAAAAAGGAGACAGATCCAGTTGTCCTTATGCTGTCTTTATCGCAGCCTGTTTTGAAAGTTGAGTCTCCCCTCTATCAGCGAGTAAAGATTTTTTATTTTTTTATTTATTTATTTTTTTTGGTATCTTAGTCATTTTATTTCAAAACCTTAGCAAGAAGTTTAGCACAGAACGGGCACTTAATATATGTTTGCTGTATGAAGGAACAGTTTAGGATCATCGCATCTTCAAAAACAGATAAATTATGTCCTTTTTATTTTTTGTTTCTTTGTTTGAGACAGTCTCACTCTGTTGCCCATGCTGGAGTGTAGTGGTGCGATCTCAGCTCACTGCAATCCCCGCCTCCAAAGTTCAAGTGATTCTTGTGCCTCAGCCTCCAGAGTAGCTGGGATTACAGATGTGCACCACCATGCCTGGCTGATTTTTGTGTTTTTAGTAGAGATGGGGTTTCACTATGTTGGCCAGGCTGGTCTTTATTTTTTTTTTTTATTATTATACTTGGGGTACATGTGGATAACATGCAGGTTTGTTACATATGTCTACCTGTGCCATGTTGGCGTGCTGCACCCATCAACTCGTCAGCACCCATCAACTCGTCATTTACATCAGGTATAACTCCCAATGCAATCCCTCCCCCCTCCCCCCTCCCTATGATAGGCCCCGGTGTGTGATGTTCCCCTTCCGGAGTCCAAGTAATCTCATTGTTCAGTTCCCACCTATGAGTGAGAACATGCGGTGTTTGGTTTTCTGTTCTTGCGATAGTTTGCTAAGAATGATGGTTTCCAGCTGCATCCATGTCCCTATAAAGGACACAAACTCATCCGTTTTTATGGCTGCAGAGTATTCCATGGTGTATATGTGCCACATTTTCTTAATCCAGTCTGTCACTGATGGACATTTGGGTTGATTCCAAGTCTTTGCTATTGTGAATAGTGCTGCAATAAACATACGTGTGCATGTGTCTTTATAGCAGCATGATTTATAATCCTTGGGGTATACACCCAGTAATGGGATGGCTGGGTCATATGGTACTTCTAGTTCTAGATCCTTGAGGAATCGCCATACTGTTTTCCATAATGGTTGAACTAGTTTACAATCCCACCAGCAGTGTAAAAGTGTTCCTATTTCTCCACATCCTCTCCAGCACCTGTTGTTTCCTGACTTTTTAATGATTGCCATTCTAACTGGGGTGAGATGGTATCTCATTGTGGTTTTGATTTGCATTTCTCTGATGGCCAGTGATGATGAGCATTTTTTCATGTGTCTGTTGGTTGTATGAATGTCTTCTTTTGAGAACTGTCTGTTCATATCCTTTGCCCACTTTTCAATGGGGTTGTTTGTTTTTTTCTTGTAAATTTGTTTGAGTTCTTTGTAGGTTCTGGATATTAGCCCTTTGTCAGATGAGTAGATTGCAAAAATTTTCTCCCATTCTGTAGGTTGCCTGTTCACTCTGATGGTAGTTTCTTTTGCTGTGCAGAAGCTCTTTAGTTTAATTAGATCCCATTTGTCAATTCTGGCTTTTGTTGCCGTTGCTTTTGGTGTTTTAGACATGAAGTCCTTGCCCATGCCTATGTCCTGAATGGTATTACCTAGGTTTTCTTCTAGGGTTTTTATGGTATTAGGTCTAACATTTAAGTCTCTAATCCAACTTGAATTAATTTTCATATAAGGAGTAAGGAAAGGATCCAGTTTCAGCTTTCTACTTATGGCTAGCCAATTTTCCCAGCACCATTTATTAAATAGGGAATCCTTTCCCCATTTCGTGTTTTTCTGAGGTTTGTCAAAGATCAGATGGCTGTAGATGTGTGGTATTATTTCTGAGGACTCTGTTCTGTTCCATTGGTCTATATCTCTGTTTTGGTACCAGTACCATGCTGTTTTGGTTACTGTAGCCTTGTAGTATAGTTTGAAGTCAGGTAGCGTGATGCCTCCAGCTTTGTTCTTTTGACTTAGGATTGTCTTGGCAATGCGGGCTCTTTTTTGGTTCCATATGAACTTTAAAGCAGTTTTTTCCAAATTTTGGACTTATTATTTTGGCTAAATGATATATAATGACTTTGTACTAATCTCCTTCTCTAAGCAACTCTCCTCCAAATCCTGTTGGGTAATGGGAAAAAGTGGCACCCTCTGCCTCCAAAAGAAAAATTCACACCCCTTTATACTATGTAAGGGCTCAATTACCATTTTCCCTCCATGCCCTGGTAATATCTAAATACCACACACCCCTTTGGGGCAAAAACATACTTTCCAAGATGGGTGCCTGCTTCATATTTACCCAACCTCTGAATTCATCTTTCCCTCTAATAGACCCATTTCTCCTGGGAAAGCTATCTAAATCTTTTAACAAATAACTTCAACCTAGATAGTCTTATCTCAGGGGTTTAAAATAGCCCATACTTATTCAGACAAGCCCTAGCAAGAAAGCTGAGTAATCTCTTGACCGAACAACTTTTACAATATGTAAATAACCTCCTCATTTGCTTCCCTTCCACAGAACTCACACAGCAACACATAGTATAAACCATAAACTCCTAAGAAAAGGAAAATAACTTTTGTCTAATTCAAAGGTTAATTGTTATATGTAAAACAAGGTAAAATGGAACCAGAAAATAAGAGAAACATAAAGAAAGTTATAAAGGTAAAGAGTTATTTTTGGTAATGAAGGTTATGAAGGTTTTACATGAGAAAGGATTTTGTATGGTAAATTCTTGTCCTAAAGTAAAATGACTGCTTGTTTAAGAAACAGGGATGCTCAGGACAAGTCAGAAAGTCTGGGCACATCATAGATGGTCTGTGTAAATCATGAGAAAATTTGTGAAATTCATAAAAGGAACATTATATGTAATTAAGATATAATAGTCTCTCTAAAATTGGCTCCCTATGCTGTGTCTAATTAAATTCAAACACTTTTTCATCAAGTGTAACTTCCAGGTTATCTAAATGGACTTCCAATAAGGAAAAACAGTCACACTACAAAGGGTTTTTCTTTGCCTTTTTGGTAACTGGTTCAAGAAACAAAATTTTATCTTCTAGAATTCAGTAGTTTCACCTTCAAATGGTGCTATGAACAGGATGTTGGTCTCTCCTCAATGATGTCTGCTACCTTTAGGAGTCTCCCATTCAGCTGAAGGCCAGTTTTGCCTAGACATGCTCCCCCTCTCCAATGAATGCTTTCTTCCAGCATGATCCAATATCCTAGGTCCTACAACCCAGGACAATGGCTCACAGGGTCTCCTGACAGACCAACAACCATAGGTTGGGTCAACTCTACGCCCCTGGTCAGCAGGAAGCAGTTGGAAGATGAGACCTCTACCCCAATGCCAAAGCTTTGTCATTGCTGTTCTGTCATAGGGGGAATGTGGATTCCTGATAAGTAAGCAAAAATGAGGAAGGGGCCTCAGGTGGGGAGGGGCTCCAGGTGCGGAAGAAGAATAAATATTTGTTCTGAGAGATGACCTCATTCCACACAATGACCTTGTTCTGCACATAACCCTGTCCAGTACAACCCTATAAAACTTCCCTTCTACCCCTGCCTCTTTGCAGACAGCCCCTTCTCTGCTGTGCTGCCCACTGTAATCTTGCAACATATTTTCATACTTTAACAAACCTGCCTTTCTTTACCTACAACTGTCTTGGTAAATTCCTCTACTACCTGTGACAACAGCCGCAGATAGTTGCATCTGTGAGAAACATATCTTCAGTGGTCCAGAAGATATGCTGCCTGCCCCAAGCAGTGGGTCAAAACCATCTGGTCACATAACAGAGTACACACTGGGGAGCAATTCACTGAAGCTTCTGCTGAAGACCTGGTAGGGGATTTTCCAAGTGACAGGTCAGAGAAGGAGGTCTCATCTGTGGTCAACGTGAACTCAAAAGCAAGTGAAAATCTTTCTGTCGAGGACATACTGAAGCAGCTTCCTTGTTACAGGGCATTGGAGAAGGTCCCATGGAAGACCAAGGCAGCTTCAAGAACATAGAATACAATTCTCCTCTGGACATCATTTATGAAGGTAGCTATAAGGATGAAGACTATTCAGCTGCTCCTGAAAGATCTCAGCATAACATCTGGCAAATCAATGGATAAGGAAGAAGATGGTTCCCATATGTCAATTTCACATAATCTTTGGTTCCCATATGTCAACTTCATGGAATCTTGAGTGGATTCTGGAGAATTTCAGCAGCGATGAGGATGATGCTTCAGCTTCCCGTGAGGATCATGTGCACAATGACCTCGTTCTGCACATTTTACAGATCTGAAAAGAAGATGCTGGCAATATATCATCAACTTCAGGGGAAAGTAAGTGGATTCTGAAGAGGATAAGTGGTGAGGAGGACTCTCCAGCTCCCTGACCACCTTCACATCACCAGTACACTCTTCAGCAGGAACCTCTACACCAAGGTCCCTAAGCAGACATCAGAGTGAGAGACAGAGATGGAGCTCCTTACAGCTAGAAAGTTATTTCTCATCCTGATAACTCTCATTGCATCATATGGGTCCCATTAGTACAGATATATCCAAATGGGCCACTCTTCTGTTACATAGACTAAATTGCTCATTACCTTGAGACTCTAATTATAGATGTTTTCCTCCTTGCCATCTACTGTAAAAGAGTCAATCAACAGTGGGTTCCAGGGTCTCACTGAACTTGTGGTCAGCCTTATTCATAGGATCAGAGTTCACCTATAGAACAGAAAACTGCTTTTAGTTTACTGACTGTCCTAAATAAATAAGTGGAGTACACTATCTGAGCTTTGCCATTTTTGTCTTTTTCATTCTTTTATCCATCCTAGTTATCCTGGGAATCTCTCTGTTCACTAAACTCATTTCTGTTGTACATACTGTCAAAACTGTCCAACATAAATGACATCTTGTGCTGATGAGGATGAGAAGACATCCTCACTCTCCAAAGCTGTTGGAAAGAACCTATGTAAAGGACCAGTGAAACCATTTATCTGCTTTGTTGCTGTTTCATTAATTCACTATGAGACTATGTGCTTGGGCACCATGCTCTCTGCCTGAGCCCAGGGCACCAAGAGAGGAGCTAAGAGGCCATCTGTGGGTCGGCCCAGGCCACTCAGAACGATAGTGATGGTGACACTTGGCTGGAATGCTCCTTGCCCCTGGCCGCAAGGCCAGCAGCTGGGATTATTGACACCTCTGCCTCCCAGCACAGGCCCCAGGCAAGAACCAGTGGACTCCAGAGCACTCACTGCCCAGGGGCCACAGATGGTTGATCCAGCAGGGGCACCTCTTGGCCGGGTCCCTGGTGCCCCCTCGTATGAACCAGCCTGGGGAACTAAGAGATCCACAGCTGTGGGTATAATACAGTGCCCAGGTCCGGGATTTGGGGTGGGGTAGTGGTGTTCGGGACAGGAGACTGGGGCAAGTTGCCTGTAGACTTGTGAAAGTGAAAAGAAGTCAAGGGAAATGTTTATCTCTGTCCTTGTCCTAATGCCAGCAGTATACGCCACAGGCTAGGGATTCCTTTTAAAGCCCACGGTATTCCCCCACCTAAGTCCCAGTATAACCATCATTTCCATGAGTGCACATGCAACAGCTGCTATGCCAAGCTCCATGTTTGTATTCGATCTTCACAAACTACTACTGCCATAAGGCAGTAGTTAGTGGCATTATCCCATTTTGCCTCCAAGGAATCTGAGGCTGGGGGATAAATAACTTGCCCATGGTGAGTGGAGAAGCTAGGACTGGAATCGGCATCTGCTTTTCTCTACAGCCTGGGGTGTTTGCCCTTAAGTTGCTCTCCTGCCTTCTCTGTGGTGGGTACTTTCTAGTTGTGCTTTACCAAGAGGAGTCGGCCCTGTTGCCTTCCTCACCTCTTCTTCCCTTCCTTAGTTTGGTGACTTCCTGTGGCCAAGAACAGGGTCTGCAAGACCGTCTCTGTACTCCATGTAAAATGACTGGAATCTTTTGGAGAAATTGTGAAGTAGACTTGGGAACACACTAAAGAAGCCTATGTTGGGAGCTTGGGGAAAAAAGAGTACCCGGAGACAAGTACTCCAATGGAAGCTCTGCCTTCACTGTGAGAACATGCCAGGGCTATGTATGGAGGGAGACATGTGGAGCAGAACTAAGTCACCCCAGCCAACCTCCAGACCTGGGAGGCACCAGCTGATAGCCAGCTGTTCCCCAGTCTCATGAGTGAGCCCAGCTGAGACCTGAAGAGCTACCCAGGCTGAATCACCAACCTATAGATTTGTGAGCTGAAAGGAGAAATGATGAAGAAAATGTTCTTAGAATTCACTTCTGGCAGAGTCTTGTCAGCTTTGCTTTCATTTGTTAGTGAAATGCTTGACATCTTTCCTTTACTTTATAAACATTATGTGCACATTATTCAGAATTCTAATAGAAAGTAATTTCCCATTAATGCAGGCTGTAAAATGCCATTTTACTTGAAACTATGCCTCAGGAACAAACACTACAGGACACCTTTACACTTGCAAATTCCACTCACAAATCAAGGAAGTCCAGTGTCGAGTGAGACAGGGACTTAAAGCTACTGTCAAGGGAAATTTAGAAGAGCAGCCTAGGACAGGCATAGGCAAATGGCAGACAGTGGCACACAGCAGAGTTTGCAGCAGTGGAGAATCCAATTATAGGACACTGAATTTTTTTTAAAGCCAACTTTTGCGTATCTGTGATCTCTGGCTGACCAGCATCCTTCTAAGAACTTCATCTGCCTAGACACTGAGATACTGGCCAACAAGGGGACAGAAGCACTGACATGCATGGCCTGGATAAGGAAGCCAAAGAATTCACTGTTCCATCAGTGTTTTTCCTTCTAGGTCGAATATATACAGTGGACTTTCTTTGTGACCATTTGCTGACCACACAATGTCTGCAATCATGAATTTTGAAAATAAATAATTCCCAATGCTCTTAAACAAATACACTATGATCTGTGAACTTTAAAAACTGACTTAAAGTCGCAGTAGTTATTTTAGAGAAGGTCATGAATATCATTATGGACCTAGTCCAGCAGTCCAGTAAACAGAAATAACATGACAGACTTTTAGCAGAAATAAGTAGTACCTGATTCAAGTTACAAAATAATTTCAAGAAGCCCCGAAAGAGCGTTTTCCCTTTCCAAAAAATAAAAGTGGATTTAGTAGAAGAAATGCAAGGATTAAGAAACTTTGGAACCTATTAACAGCAACGTTAGTGAGAAGGTGAAATTGTGTATTATTAATAACTGTTACCCTGAAGAAAAAGAAAAAAAGAAAATAGAATACAAAAAAAAATTTTTAAGAGAAAAAAGTTTTAAAAATTTCAAAAAGAAATTGTATGTTAGTTATATCATATAGTTATAACAAATTTAAAAAGACAATTACAAATTCTGAAAAAACAAATCTGTGCAATAAAACAAGGGCTAAGTATAAAGTTAATTACGATGAGCATTACTTTGAGAATACAAGAGATTATAAACATTAAAAAACAATACATGGCCAGGCATGGTGGCTCACACATGTAATCCCAGCACTTTGGAGGCCAAGGTGGCAGGGTCATTTGAGTGCAGGAGGTCGAGGCTGCAGTGAGTTGTGATCGCACCACTGCACTCAACCTGGGCAACAGACAGAAACCCCGTCTCAAGAAAATTAAAAAAAAATTGTATTTATTTTAAAAAATGATACCCTAAAATATTACCTTGGAACTTCCCAGGTGTGATTTTTATTCATTGTGGTCAATCACATGTATGTCTTGGATCTATGGAGAAAGAATTTTACACAATCTTAATAGCAAAAATTCTATTAAATCAACATAGAAACAAAGTATGGACAACTTAATTACAATTACAGAGAACCATTTAAACTCTATGAAAATTAGCTGTTTAAAAATAACGTTAAGAGTTGGCTAGGTGTGGTGGTTCATGCCTGTAATCCCAGCACTTTGGGAGACCGAGGCAGGTGGATCACCTGAGGTAAAGAGTTTGAGACCAGCCTGGCCAACATAGCAAAACCTCATCTCTATTAAAAAGTACAAAAATTAGCAGTGAGTGGTGGCATGCACCTGTAGTCCCAGCTACTTGGGAGGCTGAGGCAGGAGAATCACTTGAACCCAGGATGCGAAGGTTGCAGTGAGCTGAGATCACGCCACTGCACTCCAGCCAGGATGAGAGAGTGAGACTCCATCTCAAAAAAAAAAAAAAAAAAAAAGAAGTTAGAGTTGACAGAATTTGGGGTAGGATGTATAAGGAACATGTAAGGATTCCAATTGTTATGGGACCTTGTGAATATTAAGTACATAGATACATAGTAAACATGATAGATCCAGAAATACAGCTTGAGAAAGCACTTTAAAAGTTACAAACATAACCACTAGACAAACTGAAAATAATAATGAGATAATAAGAGTTGGGCAGCAGAGAAAAGTAGAATGATTTTGTAATGAACCCAAAATTTGATTTTTTTGAAATTGTGAGTCCTGAAGGAAAAATTTTAAGTGTGTTTTTAGAATTTTGCAGGAAAATACCAAAACTATTATACACAGAAACAAAAACTGGAAATCTGTAGCTGAGTAGGTGTGCTGTATTGCCTGTGCTGGGCTCCTCAGAGCAGTACAGGGGAGCAAATCAACTTACATGTAGAAAAGACAGGATGAAGAAATTCTGGCACTGATGTTATTGCCCAGCACTGCCTATCAAGGATACAGAAGTCTTTTAAGAAGGCTGCCTGCATCCTCTGTGGCCACCTAAAGCTGCTGCCCATGTTTCTCAGGGGAAGACCAGGGATGATCGGCCCTGATTTGTACAGCCTTCCCAAATGGCTAAGAGAGAAACAGAAGCTCTGCTATTCTCCCCTTCACATGGAATCCCCCCTGCTTCACAGTTCCTACATTGAGTGGGATAAACTGGGCACCTAGGCCTAAATTTTATCATTCTTATAACTCTCAACCACATTGTTTGGGTTTCATTGGTGCAGATACCTCCAAATGGGTCACTCTTCCAATACACAGGGTCAATGGCTAGTTACTTTGGGCCTCCATTTTTAGCTATTTTTCTGCGTGTCATCTACTATAAAAAAGTCAATGAGCAGGAGCCTCTGGGGACTCACTGGATTGTTTTCAGTCCCATTCAGATGATCAGGGAATTTGTTGGTGGCTGGTGACTGTTCTGAGATGGAGTGTGCTGCCTGTACTTCATCGTTATGGTCCTTTTTGTATTCATCCTGACTGTTCTGAGAATTTCCCTGTTTACCAAACCCTTTCTTGCTATACATGTGAGCCATGACTCATAAGTAAATGTTAAAGCACGTTCATTTATAAAAGAAAAGGAAAGAAGGCCAGCTGCGGTGGCTCACATCTATAATGCCAGCACTTTGGGAGGCCAAGGGGGGTGGATCATGAGATCAAGAGACGGAGACCATCCTAGCCAACATGGTGAAACCCCGTCTCTACTAAAAATACAAAAAATTAGCTGGGCATGGTGGCGGGCACCTGTAGTCCCAGCTACTCGGGAGGCTGAGGCAGGAGAATGGCGTAAACCCGGGAGGTGGAGCTTGCAGTGAGCTGAGATCCGGCCACTGCACTCCAGCCTGGGCGAGAGCGAGACTCCGTCTCAAAAAAAAAAAAAAAAAATTAGCTGGGCATGGTGGCAGGCACCTGTAGTCCCAGCTATTCGAGAGGCTGAGACAGAACAATTGCTTGAACCTGGGAGGCCGAAGTTGCAGTGAGCCAAGATCACGCCACTGCACTCCAGCCTGGTGACAGAGTGAGACTCGGTCTCCAAAAAAAAGAAAGAAAGAAAGAAAGAAACAAAAGATGTAAACACCACAGAGTGTGGGCACACAAACCTAGATGGTATAGCCTACTACACACATAGGCTATATGGCATAGCCTATTGCTCCTAGGCTACAAGCCTGTCTAGCATGTTACTGTATTGAATACTGCAGGCAATTATAAATAATAAGTATTTGTTTAGATACACATAGGAAAGGCACAATAAAAATATGTACAAAAGGTTTAAAGATGATACACTTGTATAGGGCACTTCCTGAATGAAGCTGGCAGGACCGGAAGTTGCTCTGGGCAAGTCAGTGAGTGGTGAGTGAACTGGAAGACCTAGGACATTACTGTACACCACTGTATACTTGATAAACACTGTACACTTAGGTTACACTAAATATATTTCTAAAAACTTTTTCTTCAATAAATTAACCTTAGCTTACTGTAATTTTTTACTCTATAAACTTTTTGACTGATAACACTTAGCTTAAAACACAAATACATTGTATAGCTGTACAAAAACATTTTCTATTTTCACTCTATAAGCTTTTACTATTTTCACTTTTTTTTTGTTTTGTGTGTGTGTTTTTTTTTTTGTTTTGTTTTGTTTTGTTTTGTTTTTTGAGAGAGAGTCTTGCTCTGCCACCCAGACTGGAGGGCAGCAGCACAATCAGGGCCCACTGCAGCCTCGACCTCCCAGGATCAAGCAATCCTCCTACCTCAGCCTCCTAAGTAGCTGGAACTACAAGTGTGTGCCACCATGCCTGGCTACTTTTTACATTTTTTGTAGAGATGGGGTCTCACCGTGTTCCCCAGGCTAGTCTCAAACTCCTGGGCTCAAGCAATCCATTCGCCCTGGCCTCCCAAAGTGCTGGGATTACAGGTATGAGCCACCACACCCGGACCATTTTCTACTATTTTTACATTTTTTTATTGTATATATTTTTACTGTCTAAACTTTTTTGTTAAAAATTAAGGCACACCCATGCCCATTAATCTAGGTCTACACAGGGTCAGGATCACCAATATTGCTGTTTCCCTCCACATCTTGTCCACTAGAAGGTCTTCAGGAACAATAATACACACTGTTTTAACACACACAAATTTAACAATGTTTTCTTCTGGAATGCTTCCCGAAGGACCTGCCTGAGGCTGTTTTACAGTTAACTTTTCGTATATTTTGTATATACTCTAAAATAATGATATATAGTATAACAAATACATAAACTGGTAAGAGTCATTTATGATCAAATATCACAGACTGTACATAATTGTGTATGCTATACTTTTATAAGATTGGCAGGGCGGGTTTGTTCACACCAACATCACCACAAACTCTTGAGTAATCCATGGCACTACAACAGCAACAACATCGCTAGGTGGAATTTTTCAGATGATAATCTTATATATATGCAGTCCTTTGTTGCCTGAAACGTCATTCTGTGGCACATGGCTGTAGTTGCTTGGTCTTGTTTTTCTGTGCAAGCTTGTAAGTTTTTAGAGGACAGTAAAGGTGGTTTGCCATTTTTTATCCCCAGACTTTAACAGAATACCTGTCACACATATCTGATGGACAAATTGATTCTCTTTGATATAGCACCCAAGATTAACAAACTATAGAAATGATCCCTGAAAGTACAGTCTTCACTCAAGATTAATATTACCATCTTCAGCAAGAAATTACACTTGTATTTTACCTTGAGCGACTAAAGCCTCTTGAATCAAGTGAGATCATAACAAGACATTATGCTTGATGGATTCTACCTATGTGAAGTTTTAAGAAAAAACTGCCTAATCTCTTTTTTTTTTTTTGAGACGGAGTCTCCCTCTGTCGCCCAGGTGCAGTGTCACGATTTCGGCTCACTCACTGCAACCTCCACCTCCTGGGTTGAAGCAATTCTCCTGCCTCAGCCTCCTGAGTAGCTGGGACTACAGGTGTGTGCCACCACGCTGAGCTAATTTCTTTGTATTTTCAGTAGAAACGGGGTTTCACCATGTTAGCCAGATTGGTCTCGAACTCCTGACCTCGGGCAATCTGCACACCTCGGCCTTCCAAAGTGCTGGGATTACAGGCGTGAGCCACTGCGCCCAGCAGCCTAATCTTTATTATAAGGGAAAAGCATGTGATTCATTTAGAGAAAATATTTATCTAAATTTAAGCTTATTGCTCAGCAATATTTTCTAGTGTTCTCAGTTGTACCATTCTCTAACCTTGGACAAATCACATGTCATCTCAGAACCTTGAGGTCCAAATGATAAAATGAGGAAAATGACACTTGATATCGGAGAGGATTTGTGCAGAAACATATGCTAATCATTAAGCGTAGTTCTTAATAGGTGTGAAACCAAGAAAATAAATGGCAACCATTTTTAACTTTCAGAGAAGTAGTAAAATAAATTCATAACACAATTAGAGCATATTATTATGCAGGTTCTTCTAATGTTGCCATCTTTGTGGAAGGTAATTTCTCCAAGATAAAATTCTTGCAACATGTCACTACATCAATAAACAAGAACAGTTAGAAGAGAAACAAAGCACCTCTCTGAGGCCATCTTATAATGTCACATCTAAAGTTTCATGAGGAAGGCCTCGGGCATTTCCCACATTATTATATATATTAAAAATAATTAAACTATAGTTGAACTTATCCTTAAAAACTAAATTCCACTTGCTTTGTTACTCATTACTCTCCATTCTCTCTGCAGACTATACTCACATTGCAAAGGACATAACTGAGTCTGTTGGCAAACTTTGATATGGATGCTTGGATAGAAAATAATATTGTATCAATGTTAAATTTTCTGAATTTGACAACTGAATTAGAGTTATGAAGAGAATGTTCTTGTTCTTGGAGATACCTACTGAAGTATTTAGGGGAAAAGAGGCATGACATCTATAACTAATTCTCAAATAATGCATGCTGGGGGGAGATACATATTTAAAGAGAAGTAATAAAGCAAACTTAGTGAAATGTTAACAAACCACGTAAACTCTCTGGCACTCTGTTTCTTCATCTGCTTGGAGATAAAAAGGGCTGAACTATTTTGGTTTTATTCACACTTTCATGAAATCCATTTAGCAGTTGAGGTCAGCATTAGAAAAGTGTTATTAATGAATCTGGATAAAGGATTTAAAAGCATTTAAAATCAAAACTAAAATAAATTAATACCATATTTATATAACACCAAGGCACTCTAAGCATGAAAAGATAATGTTTAACTACATGATACCTGTATACTTCCTCTCCAAACTAAATGAGTTATATGCTTACAAGAGTCAATTTGCATTTGTACTCCAAAGTATTTGTCTATTATACTTATAGAATCTATTTAAATATGCAAATAGATTTCTAATGAAATACAAATAGAAAGTTATTTTCTATAAAAACGAAGTTGATTAACATGAACAACAAACAAAAATTACTGTAGAACTAGGCATAGGTAAGGCAAATCTGTAAAACTTTGGAGAAAAAATTGTACAAAAATCTAGAGTGACTGGGCATTCAAACTGCTTGAAAGGTGTCTTTAACTTCTTGTTCCACTTTGAAGAAAATGAAACTGGAAACTGTAAACAATGCAAATTGTAACAAAGACAAATTGTTCCAACCAGCAAACTCATGCTCAGATAAAAGGTCTTGGGCCTACTACCAAGACTGGTGAGTGAACATATAATTATACATTGGAGTCAAAATAAAATGACTAAAGTATATATTTGCCATTTTAAAATACGTACCACTATAACTGACTTTTTAAATTAACTGATCAATTGGTCCCAATTTTAGGGGAAGAGAGTGCCTCTACCATTGTTTTAATTGAAAAAGTGCTATACATGGTAAAGATATTCGAATGGTACAAAACACTACACATCAAGAAAGTTTCCCTTCTGTATTAGTCTTCTAGGGCTGCTATAATGAAATACCATGGACTAGGTGGCTTAATTACAGAAATTTATTTTCTCACAGTACTAGAGGCTAAGAGTCCAGGATCAAGGGGCCATCAGGCTTGATTTATGGTATGACCTTTCTGGACTGCAAATGGCCATCTTCTGTGTTCTCATATGGCCTATTCTCTGTGTCCATGCACTCAGACACTAGCTCTACAGGATTAGGGTTTTGCCCTTCTGACTTCATTTAACCTTAATTATTGTCCTAAAGGCCCTATCTCCAAATCTAGTCACACTGGAAGTTAGGACTTCAACATATGAATTTTGAGGGGATATAATTCAGTCCCTAACACTTTCCATGCCAGAATCACCGTCCTACTGATGTGTGTGTGTGTGTGAGAGATGCTCAAATGGAAGTAGAGTCTACACATTATTTTTGCACCTTACTTTTCTCACCTTATAGCATCATACAGGTATTCCATGTGAGCACATATAGATCTATCTAGTTTATTCTAATGGCTGCATACTATTCTATTGAATGGCTACATTATGACTTATTTCAGCAATTTCCTATTGCTGAACAGTTAAGAGTTTTTTTTTTCACTCTATTACAAAAATCCTGTAACAGATATTTTTATAGAATACTTTTATATACAACCTGTATACCCATGGGATAAATTTTAGAAGTAAAACTGTTAGATCAAAAAGAACTTCATATAAAATTTTGATACATATAATTACCGTGAACTTTTTTTTTTTTTTTTTTTTTTTTTTTTGAGACGGAGTCTTGCTCTGTAGCCCGGGCTGGAGTGCAGTGGCCGGATCTCAGCTCACTGCAAGCTCCGCCTCCCGGGTTCACGCCATTCTCCTGCCTCAGCCTCCGGAGTAGCTGGGACTACAGGCGCCCGCCACCTCGCCCGGCTAGTTTTTTGTATTTTTAGTAGAGACGGGGTTTCACCGTGTTAGCCAGGATGGTCTCGATCTCCTGACCTCGTGATCCGCTCGTCTCGGCCTCCCTAAGTGCTGGGATTACAGGCTTGAGCCACCGCGCCCGGCCGAATGCACCAATTTTTATACTCCTACTAAGTGTTTTAAGAATGCTTATTCCTCCCACCCTGCTCTCATACCACACATACACACCCAATACTGTAGTATCAATTTTTTTATTTTTGCCATTGAGCTGACACAAAGGATCAAACTGTCAAATCAGAGATTTTACTCAGTATCAAGCTTTACTAATAATTTCAAGAACACCAGTAATTCCCAGGTCCTTTCTTCTTGCTTTGGATGCATCCTGGCCCAGGACAGATGTGGTTTCTAAATCAAGTGTACAGTCGCCCCACTTACACAGAAGGAGCCAACTCAGTTATAAAACACTTCCATTTTACGCTAAGTTATATAACTTCCGCGGTATTTTCCAGTTAATCGTACCCCTGAAATCCACATTGATTCTGTTTCGTTTTGTGAGAGGGAGTCTCGCTCTGTCTTACCAGGCTGGAGTGCGGTGGCGCGCTCTCTGCTCACTGCAACCTCTGCCTCTCCGGTGCAAGCGAGTCTCCTGCCTCAGCCTCCTGAGCAGATGGGATTACAAGTGTATGCCCCCACACCCAGTCAATTTTTGTATTTTTGGTAGAGATGGGGTTGTACCATGTTGGCCAGGCTGGTAAGTCCTGACCTCAAGTGATCTGCCTGCCTCAGCTTCCCAAAGTGCTGGGATTACCAGATCGATTCTTAATGTGTTTACCATAAACAATCCCAGGACAATCCGCGACATCTTGATAGAGGAATTCCATAAATATGGACTCTTCTGCTAGCAAATACCATTGGTTTGTTTGCCAGGAGGTCTGTAATTACCGTATTTATAAAAATCGCATGCTTGCTTGCTTGCTTTCCTGAGAGTATTTCCCTACGAGGGGAGAGACTGGATTGCAGACCTTCTGCTCAACTCCTTTCTCAGTCACTGATAGGTGAAAAATGGTATTTCCTTGTTTACTTTTACATTTTAAGTAATGTTGAACATTTAGCAACTAAATATTGAAAGCTAGAAGGGAGATGAATCAAGAAGCAATTACCTTAGCAGACTTGAAAAGTAGGAATTCCAAGCAGGCCATGAAGCAACCTGATGCACACAGTGAAACCCTGCACAAGGCTCAGGAATTGGAAGCACCGGGTAAAGCTGAAGAGAGCATGATGTAAGCTAGAAATAAAGGGGGAATGGTAGAAAGTCTGTTTAAGAATGAATCAGATGCTCAGATTCCCTTTGTTATCCCATCAAAAGCCCAGAGATTTAGTCTTGGAAGACAGCAAAACGCTGATTCTCTAGCTCAGAGGACAGCAGGCCCTCTTAAGGATGAAGGTGTCATGTTGCAAAAGGGGAAAAGAAAATTAGAGGACTAACATCTGAATAACTGAAGCTCATTAAAAAGAAAATGGAGGAAATAAGTAACTCAAGTTGCTTATTGAGTTACTTATTTGGAGTTCTGATTCTAAGCTCAGTGCTACCTATAATCTTTTAGGCTTACTGGTATATTTGATTCATGTTAACTGTAAAATGACATTTTCTAAGTTTCACAAATATTGGGGATAGTCAAAGGGACTTTGTTCAGGTGATTAAAGGGTGGGACTTACATTACCCCTCTCCTAGCGACCATTCCAAAATGACTGGTGGGACTAAAGAATTATGGTTAAAAAACAAAGAAACCCAAAGAAAGAATTATCCATAAAAGCTATGCAATGACGTTCCCGTTGGAGCTCACTGACCACACCTGAAGTTGTCTATGCACAAGAGACGAGGCTATAACTAGCTAAAGCTCCAACTGGCTAAGGCAGCAAAGCCAGAAAATATCCTATAACATGCCAGTATACGGACATAAAATCAACTGTAAGTGCTGGGCACAGCTGCTTGTGCCTGTAATTCCAACTACTTGGGAGGCAGAGGCAGGAAGATCACTTTAGACCAGGAGTTCACAGTTGCTGTGAGGTATGATTGTGTCACCGCACTCCAGCCTGGGGGAAGAAGTGATAACTCGTCTCAAAAGAAAAAATCAGCTGTAAAAGGAAAAATGATGTCTGGGTTACCTGTGGAGTCTGGGGGTAGTCCCACTACCACGCCTACACAGAGATATAAACCATGAGAGGTTTCTAAGTGGGCCGTTTCAGTCCAAGTCAGCAACTTGGCATAAACACAGGCAACTGAGTTTAGCATTAAGCTTTCAGAACCTTCAACTGACAACCCAACGGCTGTTTCTAAATCTCAGACCATTTAAATCAGAATCTAGGTAACACGTGGGCACCTACGTAGTTTTAAAAGCTTTCCAAGTGATTCAACTCCAAGTGAATCAGAGTTGAGCATCATTGCCTTAGTCATGGCATTTTTCAAATTCGTTAGTACATTTTTACATTTAAAAAAAATCAAAAGAAGAGCAACTTTTTGGTAAGAGGGTGTCTATTCCTTCCTTCCCTTTAGTGTCCTCAGATCTTTCCTCCTGCTGTTTTGTCCACTCTTGTTCTTGAACACCCCCTCCTATTTTTATATCTTTAGAAAGTGCCTGGCAAAGCATTTCAGACAGTTAAAATACTGTATCAACAAAGGACCCATAGACACTGTATTCATTTTAAAAGATGTGTAGTGAATATGATTCAATGAGTAAAATAATCCAGCTGGGGCGTGGGAGGAATGGATAATAAAACAAATAAGAGAACGGAAAAACAAAATTAGGAATTGTTTTTGGTAGCCAGCTACTGCGGGCTTGGAGATCTAAACATGATACCAAATTGGGCGGAGGGGGAGGGAGTGAGGGAGGAAAGGGCAGAGTGGCGGAATGGCCTGGCAAGGGCGATTTCCCTGAAACCTGAAGGCTTTCAGGTTACAACTAAGGGATACCGGGAAAAGAACACCGAGCCCTCGTTCCGTATCTATCTAAACTAGCTGTGTAACTTTAATTCAATCTCCTCTCTGAACCAGATACTCCTCCTATCTAAAGGGAGGAGCCTGGCCTAGGAACCCCTAACATCTCTTTCCAAGTCTAGCTAATTCTGTAAACAGGGGATCGAACAGATCTCCTTTCTTCAGAAAAGGCCCCAGACGAACCCGAAGCAGGTCCACCGGATCGCGACCGGAACCTGGAGAACCGGTGGTCGTTCCTCCCCTAAAGCGCAGCATAACTTTGGAAAGCTGCATCTAAACTGCGTGTGGGTCCGGGCTCTTTTAGGCTAAGCGCGTTCGGCAGAATCGACTTCCTCGACTATCTCCGTGCCCTGGACCCGCCCTCTCCGCCTGGCGCCAGGCCGCCGAGCGCCGATCGGCTAGATGAGCGGAGGCGCTGCTGCGGCGCTGCGGCCGACGCCGGGTCTGCACCCACAGTCTCCCCCTCCCAGCTTTTTACCTCGGCTTCCCACTCCTTCCCCCGCCCGCCCAGCACCGCCCGCCCAGCACCGCTAGCCCGGGAGAGCTGCCGGGAGTTCCCCGGGAGCCTCAGGTACTGGCGCTGGCCTGTTCCCAGCGGGAGGGGCTGGTGTGAGGAGGAAGGAAACGAAGAAGATGCCCTGCCTTGCCGCCCCCCGACGTCCTAGTCGGGCTGGTCGGCCGGCCTCCGGCATCTAGGAAGGGACCCCGGAGTGGGAAAAGGCTGGGGCCCGGGGTGCCGTGAGGAAGGAAGATGAGGACAGGGGTGTGCGGACGGGGAGCAGTTGAGGAAGAGAAGAATTGGAATGGAGGGGAACTCTGGGTGATGGGAAGAAAACAGTGCCATGGATGGGGAAGGTTTGTTAAGAGTGGGATGCAGTCAGGAATGCCAGGGGGTACCGTGGGGCAGGAAGGGCCAGTGTTAGGATCAGATATATCCAGGGACGTGGCCTGGTGCGACAGATTGAGTGTGGGGGGTGAACGGAGCTGCCTGGAATTGTGTATTTAAAGGGCTCGGGAGAAAGAGCGCCAACCCTGCTGTGTTTATAATGACCGGAAGCGGGGGTGAATCGTTACACTTGACAGGTTTTGCAAGTGACATCTCCGGTCTGTGTCCATCCAAATCACTTTATTTCTGGGAAACTGCATCAAGCAAGACGGCTGATGACAGACAAGACGAGTCAGAAAGGGAATGGAGGCTGGGAAAAGGAGAACCTCTGCCCAGATTCAAAGCTGTTGACTAGATAACGTACTACTTACAAAAATGCATACATAGACATTTAAGTATATGCCGATGTATAAGAAGCATACGGTGATGTGACTTTTTTAAGTGAATTTTATAGTGGTGGTGTATCCTCAATGTGGAAGTACATGATAGCTCTCTTATTTACATGTATACCTAGTCACAAACACCTGAATCCACATGTCTTTTTTGTAGGAGAAATCTTAGGCGGAGAAATCCTAGCCTACTTTCTGAGCATGATTTATTTCTACTAGTTGTTTGATACACATGTCATCAGTTACTAATAATCATCAGTTGCAAATAACATCAAAGTTCATCAAGGTAGCTAATTAATCTGCCTACTGCTTTGCTGATGGGCTTTCTATTTGTTGCACATGGTTTCTTGGGATTACGAGACCTGAATATGGGGTTTGCTTCTCCTTAAGATTGTAGTTTTACTGTATGTCTCATAAAGGCATTATATAAGTCAGCCTGTTGTTTGCTTTGAGATGTTGAGGGAGCCTCTTTGCAGGGGTTAAAATCTAAATACAGATATAGTTAAAAGCACAAGTTCTTCAGTAATTTGCCTTGTCATCTGTTTTTCCATGCATTCTGTTACATTTCTGCAAGAATTAAGTATTCTGAAATCAAAGTATGAGGAATAAAAGGGCCAGATGTATGTGACAGAATGACAGAAATATTGTGGAACCAAGAACTCAAGAGCTGTTAGGCAGCAAGAGTTTGGTTTTTGTTACAAGTGAATAATTTCTGATTTGGAAGCATTTCTTACTAAAGGAAAGTGTTTGTGTCCATTTGTTTTGACAAGCAGCTGACTTAAAATATTACTTTTATTTGGTTTGTGAAACCAGATTCTGGGATTATTCTTTTTTAAGTGTATATCATTAACCAACAAACTGATACCTAACTACACCTAATTTAAAGGGCTGTGTTTCTTCTTGTGGAGAAGGAAACAGGACTATTGGGTTGTTACCGGGAAGTGGGTCTTTCTAGAACAGAATTCTGTAAACCTGATGAGCAACTAATTGAAAAAATAGTTAAAACTGATAATGCACAGCCATTGATTAATTTAGGCCTGTATCTCTGCTGTTTCAATGAGTGTAGTGACTAACGTTATTGTTACTAAACTTTAGTTTTCTCCTAGTTTCTTGGTGCCTACTTCAAAGAAGGGTCATAAAGAGTAAAAGAAAATGCATGCGTATCACTGAGCACAGTGCCTAGCACACAGTATAACATTATTTCTGAGCTATCCTGAATTGCTGAGTATTCATCTACCATCTAGTCAAAAATACTGAAAATTCATTATTTGCATAGAACAACTTTTTCTCAAAAAAATTTTTAATATGTTGCATACACAAGCATTTTCCTGGAAAGTCACAATGCATATTAGCATATAACAGGATGTGAGTCATTCTGTGGCAAAGAAAACTAGTTTTGTTTAATCCAGTTGTTTTGATAGAAGAAAAATTGAGTTTCTCCTATTCTCTCTCAACACAGAATACTCCTGTGACCCCAAAAAGACTTCTCCTCACGAGCAAGCAGGCAGTTCTGCAGCAGGTTCTCCAGCTGGGTGTCAATTCGGATACTGTATACCTAGAGATAGCATCAGATCCTGCAGGTTGAGGACTTACTCCTACAAGATTCCCCCCAACTTCAGGTGCCAGTCACAAGTTCCAGGTTGTTTTACCTGTGCTTCCAACTGACTGGCTATAAATCGTAGTTCCCACAATCCCTTCCTTGTGTTCCATTTATTTGCTAGAGTGGCTCACAGAATTCAGAGAAACACTTTGTTTACTGGTTTATTATAAAGGATAGAGATCAACAGCCAGATGGAAGAGGTGCATAGGGCAAGGGGTACAGAGCTTCCGTGCCCTCTCCAGGTGTGCCACCGTCCAGGAACCCTCTACTTGTTCTGCTTTCGGGAAGCTCTCTGAACCCTGTCCTTTTTGGGTTTTATGGAGTCTTCATTAGTAGGCATGATTGATTACATCATTGCCCATTGGAAATCAGTTCAACCTGGAACCCTCCTCCCCTCCCAGGAAGCTAGGGGGTGGGGCTGAAAAGTCACAGTCTTATAATCATACCTAGGTTGTTCTGTGACCAGCCTCCATCTTGAATCTATCTGGGGGCTAAGCTACCAGTCATCTTACTAGCATACACAAGACACATCACTGCAGGGATTCCAAGGATATGTCAGGAAATGGGGATTAAAACCAAATATATATATATATATATATTTTATAAATCACAATATCACACAGTACTTACCAAACTTACCCCTTTTTATGGAGTACCAATGGGACATTATAGTTTGCAGAATATTTTTGCATGTATTATCCAATTTGACCATCCCAACTCTGCCGAAGCCTGAAAATCACTATTTTACACATGAGGAAACTGAATCATTGTTTAAGCAGCCAACTAAAAGTGAGAGAAATAGACATGTTATCCTGTCTTCTGACTCCAACTTTAAATTGTAAAGCATTTAATGTCTCAGTGAGACATCTTCCCTCTACTCTCTGCTCTTTCATTTTATAAAAATCTATCTTAAGTCACTCATATCCTACACATGTTCTCTTAGGGCAATTACATCCATTTTGTCATAGTTTTAACTATTATGTGTTTGAGGTCTAGCATGGAGGCCCCATTCACTGGAATGGAACAAGTGAGAGGGGAGGAACTGAAGTCAGAAAAATGAGGGAGTCACCATTATACGGGGTCTTGTGTATATTGTTTTAAGTACTTTAGCTTATACCCCAAAGTCTCAAATCTGATGAAATTTTTTTTCTCTTTAAGGCAGTGATTATCCTGTTGAGAAGTAGAAAATACTTCGCAAGTAAAAAATATGCCTCCCAAGTTTAAGCGCCACCTCAATGATGATGATGTCACGGGTTCTGTGAAAAGTGAAAGGGTAAGTTCAGAATCTTAAGCTTTAAAAACAAAAGATTCAAAATATGTTTTCATTCCCTTTGTAAATAATAGAAAAAAACCATCTGGGCACGGTTGCTCATGCCTGCAGTCGCAGCACTTGGGACACTGCAGCAGAATAGCTTGAGCCCGGAAGTTCAAGACCATTTGGACAACCTAGGGAGACCCTGTCTCTACAAATATTTTTTTAAAAATTAGTGAGGCATGGTAGCACGCGCCTGTGGTTCCAGCTATTCGGGAGGCTAAGGCAGGAGGATCACCTGAGCCTGAGAGATAAAGGCTGTGGTGAACTGTGATCTGCACTCCAACCTGAGCAACAGAGCAAGACCCTGTCTCAAAAATTAATTAATTAATTAATAATAGGAAAATCAAAAGTTTATGACTATATTCTAATCCTAATTGTTTTCTTCATAGTAAATGTATTTAAAAACATGTTACTTAGATTGGTGACAACTGAATCCTACTTCTATTATTGATCAAATCATTATTCTCATAGCTTCTTTCTAGTTTTTGAAAGGGAGTTTTATACAAATACACAGTATCTTTTTAAGAACTTTGAAGCTGAATATATTTGGAATTTTTCAGATTTTAGAAAGTTAAGAACATATTATGTAACAGCATTTTTGGGGCCTGGACCAGTGCCTCCAAAAATATTAGTATTTCTCAGTGAAGTGTATATTTAGTTATACCTAACTAATGTAAATAAAGTATGTAAATAAACTAGCTAACATCAGTTCAGGTCAGAGTTTCCTCCAAAACCTTTTGATTTTCAGAAGCTTTTAGATTTTGGAATTCCAAATAAAGGTCTCCAGACCTGTAATTATCTTAGGTTCCAGAGTATCTTTCATATAATGCTTCAATTTCTAGTTTATTCCAGAACATTCTGTGCAAAGATACATGAATCTAGACATTATGCAGCATTTTGAAAGACATTTTATATGAATGTTGTAGGCAGATTACTTTTAGAATAAATACTCAATACATATTTATTGGGGGAAATAATTCACATTCTTATTTTTTTAATGCACCATTCTGAAGCCCTCCTTCCCTTCCTTCTTGCCTTGATTCATTCGACAAATATATATTGACCGCCTACTGTGTGCTAGGCACGGGGCTAAAAATTGGAAGACATAATCTGTGCCTTTGCAAAGCTTTTAGTCTGCTTTGTTTTACACGCTCTTTTTGGACAACCTCAGAACTTCATATTATCCACTCTGTCCACCATCTTATGACTTTTAGCCCTAAGTTTATTTTAGTACAACACAGGAAACGTTTTCTTCCCCTTAATCTAACCCTTTGTACAGCTTTTTGGGTTTTGTGTGTTTTTGATGGTTTGTTTTTATTTTTTGAGACCAGGGTCTCACTCTGTCGTTGAGGCTGAAGTGCAGTGGTGCAATCACGGCTCACTGCAGCCTCCACCTTTTGGGCTCAAGCTATCCTCCCACCCTAGCCTCCTGAGTAGCAAGGACTACAGGTGCATGATACCACACCCGGCTAGTTTTTGTTTTTCTTATAGAGATGGGGTCTTGTCGTGTTACTCAGGCTGGTCTCCAATTCCTCAGCTCAAGTGATCCATCTGCCTTGGCCTCCCAAAGTGCTGGAAAGTGCTGGGATTACAGACATTTGACACTGTCTCAGCCGGTTTTTTTTTTTTTTTTTTTTTTTTTAATGGGGAATAGAATCCACCAATAGACTAATTGTTAGCAAGCTTTAAAAAATAAACTTTAAGGAGTCACCAATGATTTCCATGTTACCAAATCCAATTATTCCTTCTTTGCCATAATTTCAACTGCTTACCAGCATTTGGTGCAGTTTCAACAATTTTGGTCACCTATCTTTGCCTCCACGCCATGGTGAAACTCTTAGTGTCTGCTTGAGCTATTTTCCCATGCAAGGAATTGAGAAATGCCTTGAGGAAATAAACCAAGTCTGGGTGAACTGGGAAGGCTGTGGCAGAGAAAAGGCAGAGAATGATCAGGGATTGAGAAATCACTCACAGGGATAAGCCAAGGTCTCTTTCTTTATGTAATATCTTTCAAGATAAACCTCCAAGAAAAAGTGATTCAGAAAATTTGACATACCTGTGCTGGAATTCCATACACTGAAGAATTACTATCAAAAGCATGTCTTGGCCAGGCATGGTGGCTTACGCCTGTAATCCCAACACTTTGGGAGGCCGAGGCAGGCAGATCACGAGGTCAGGAGTTGGAGACCAGTCTGGCCAACATGGTGAAACCCGTCTCTACCAAAAATACAAAAATTAGTTGGGTGCAGTGGTGCATACCTATAATCCTAGCTACCCAGGAGGCTGAGGCAGGAGAATCGCTTGAATCTGGGAGGCAGAGGTTGCGCTGAGCTGAGATTGTGCCATTGCACTTCAGCCTGGGTGACAGAGTGAAATTCCATCTCAAAAAGGGAAAAAAAAAAAAGCATGTCTTTACAAAGCAGAAGGTTTGGAGAAATACTAAACCCATTCAGAGAATAAATGTCAGTTTGTTAAAGTAAATGATACCAATTGTGAACCTATAAAGGAATTCAGTGTAAAACAACACAGACTTGATGTGCATCCAGTACAAGCTGACTGAAAGCTCCTGATGAATATTCAGTGATCAGCGTGCACAAAATATGTTGAAATATTTTTTAAATCATCGGTTAGAATAATCTGAGCCTCTTTCTTATTGCCCCAAGGAAATTTTTAGTCACTTACCCAGAGATGCTTGCAAAGCATTAATATCCTGGAAGATGATCAATAAATGCTGACAGTTGATTGACAGATATGTCAGGTAAATACTTCAGTCCTGGACAGAGAGCCTCTAAGTCACATATAACTTTGTGTAAGATGAAAACTGAAGTATGGAAATGTATGCAGTAAAATCACCTCTCGGAACTTGTTTGTAATTCATACAATCTATGTCAATTTTGAAAAATGTATGTAAAGCAGAGAAGGTTGTAGCCAAATTCAATGTATAGTATGCAAGAGTATATTATTTAATAATTTTAATTGGTGCAAATCTCATTAATTTTATAGTTTTATTTTTACATGATTTCTAACTTAAACTATTTATATTTCCTGAGTTCCCCTGTGTTTCTTTCTCACGATCACTGCTGAATGTAAATTTGTTGTTCACTTAATGGAATCACTGTTAAGGGCATATTCACTTGAATACGATTGCTTTTTAAAAATCAAGTCCAGGAGTGATATACCAGTAGCACAGTCTCATGGCATATTGGTCATAATCCTGAGAAAATATTGACAAAATTATTATTTGTAGATATGAAATACCAGTTTAATATGTGTGGAAATCAGATTAAATAAATAGTACATAAAGTCCCCCCTAATAACAAGGTCAGGAAAAAATTACTTCAAGAAAAACAATAGTAAACCTTAAATTAAAAAAAAATACAAATAAATAAGCTTTATGAATATATTTTTAAATTTAAAATGTACTGTCTCAATAAATTCCACTGCTGAGACTGTAATTGTATCACTTTCTCCTTACATTCTTCATTGATTACTAGTATATTAGATACCAGAACTGAATAAAATTGACTGGTTAAAGAGAATTCCTTTTTGATGTTTATTATATTACGAAGTTTGGTAACTGATTGGTTCGAATAATATATAAATTACTTTTAAAACCTTTTAAAAGTTTTGTTCCTCTTTCCTATTATACTTTTTTGGTAACAGCTTTATTGAGATAAAAGTCACATACCCATTTAAAGTGTACAATTCAGTGAGTTTTATTATACTCACAGAGTTGTGCAACAGTCACCACAATCAATTTTAGGATATTTTCATTAGCCCAAAAAGAAATGCTGTGCCCTTTAGCAGTCATCTCCCATTTTCTTTATCCCCTCAACCTCTAAGCAACTGCAGACCTATAGATATGTCTATTCTGGATGTTTTCTATAAATGGAATCATATAACATATAGCCTTTTGTGACTGGCTTCTTTGACTTAGCATAATGTTTTTAAGATTCATCAATGTTGTAGTGCATATCAGTGCTTCATTCTTTTCTTTTTTTCTTTTTTTTTTGAGACGGAGTCTCCCTCTGTTGCACAGGCTGGAGTCCAATGGTGTGATCTTGACTCACTGCAACCTCCACCTCCTGAGTTCAAGCAATTTTCCTGCCTCAGCCTCCCAAGTAGCTGGGATTACAGGCATGCACCACCATGCCCAGCTAATTTTTGTATTTTTAGTAGAGATGGGGTTCCACCATATTGGCCAGGCTAGTCTCGAACTCCTGACCTCAGGTGATTCGCCCACCTCGGCCTCCAGAAGTGCTGGGAGGCCTTCATTCCTTTTTATTGCTAAGTAATATTCCCTTATATTGATATAACACATTTGGTTTACCCATTTATCAGTTCATAGATATTTGGGTTTTTTCCTACTTTTGGCTATTTTGAATACTGCTACTATGAACATTAGCATACAAGTTTTTGTTTGAGCATGTTTTTATTTCTCTTGGTATATACCTAAGGTAGAATTGCTGAGTATTGTAGTAACTCTCTGTTCAGCCTTTTGAAGAACTGCCCAGCTGTTTTCCAAAGTGGTTGTACAATTTTTACATTCTCACCAGCAATGTATGACGGTTCCGATTTCTCCACATCCTCACCAACACTTATTATTATCTGCCTAGTGGGTATGAAATATTATCTCATTGTGTTCTATTATTCTTTTTTGACACTGTATCCCTAGCACTTGTGTTTATTGAATGAATATATGAAAAGGCATTGGTTTTCATGTGTGTTTCTCAGTGTACAATTATAGTAAACATACCTTATCTTTAGTATTATTATCCTCTAAACCAAATAAATTATTACTGTTATTATTATTTTGAGACAGAGTCTGGCTCTGTCATCCAGGCTGGAATGCAGTGGCACGATCATGGCTCACTGCAGCCTCCTCCTGGGCTCAAGCAGTCCCCCCAAGTAGCCTCCAGAGTAGCTGGAACTACAGGCATACACCACCACGCCTAATTTTTTTTTTTTTTTTTTTTGATAGAGATGGGGTTTCACTACACTGCCCAGGCTGGTTTCAAACTCTGGGGCTCAAGTGATGCTCCCTCCTCATCTTCCCAAAGTGCCGGGATTACAGGTGTGAGCCACCATGCCCGGCCGTAAACCAAATAAATTATATTATAAATGTAATGCTTGTCTGTTGCTTGTTGGCTGGAATATTACTCAAGAAATACTTATTTTAAAAATGACCTAATGCATTTCCTTGAATATTAATTGGTTTTGAACATTTCATGTGGTCATTGGCCATTTCTTCTATTGGGTATTATCTATTTCTATTCTTTGTTTTTCTATAATGTCTCTTTTTCTTACTAGCTTGTCAAAGCTTTTTATATAATACAGACATCAGGTCTTTTGTCTTAAAGTATATGGCAGATGTTTTTTCCCAGTCTGTTGCTTGTTTTTTAACCTTGTTTTTGATTTCTTATGTTCAAGTTTCAAATTTTTATGTAATCAAATATGTTAATCTTTTTCTTTCAGATTTCTGGAGTTATGTGTTTTTTAGGAATAACTTACCCCATCTTAAAAGTTAAATATTTATTTTATATATTTTCAATCTTTGTGATTTCATAACAAAATATATCTAAAGTCCCATTTTCCTTTAAGTACTGCTGTGGCCATACTCTGCAGATTTTGACCTGTGATCTTCCCAGTGTCTTTCATTTCAAAATAATCTAATTTTATTTACATTTTAACATAAGAGTTCATGAGAAGAGTGTTTTTTGTTTTTTTGTGAGGTTTTTTGCTACAGGGTCTCGTTTTGTCACCCAAGTTGGAGTGCAGTGGCATGATCATAGCTCACTGTAACCTCAAATTCCTGGGCTCAAAAGATCCTCCCATCTCAGCCTACTGAATAGCTAGGACTACAGGCATGAGCCACCATGCCTGGCTAATTTTTTTTTTTTTTTTTTTTTTCATAGAGACACGGTCTTGCTATGTTGCCCATGCTGGTCTTGAACTCCTGGGCCCAAGCAATCCCCCTACTTTGGCCTCCCAGAGTGCTGGGATTACAGGTGTGAGCCACTGCACCCAGCTGAGAAGAGTGTTTTTAAACTTCCTTTTTCCATCGCATTATGGTCAGAGAATATGACCTGCGTAATTTCTATTTTTTGGATTTTATTAAATGTCATTTATGGCTTACCCATAAAGGAAAACAAAATAAGATTTGCTGTTTAGTTTCAAAGTTCTAGTTTTTTTTGTATTTGGCCTCTCCATCTGTGAAGGTTATGTTAAATCCTTCCTATGATTTTGATGTAACTGTTACTTGTTAGCTGGAATATTACTCAAGAAATACTTATTTAAAAAATGACCTAATGCATTTCCTTGAATATTAATTGGTTTTGAACATTTCATGTGGTCATTGGCCATTTCTTCTATTGGGTATTATCGATTTCTATTCTTTGTTTTTCTATAATGTCTCTTTTTCTTACTAGCTTCCTCATAATTTGCGCAGCTTTTGTTTTAGATATTTTAAGCTATATTATTAGGTATTTAAACATTCGTTGCTATTAAATCTTCTTGATGGATTGTACATTTTATTATTGTAAAATCATCTTATTTGATTGTTTAATACTTTGTCCTAAAATTCCTCTTTATATTGCTAACTGTAACAGTCTTTTTGTTAGAATTTGCTGATGTATGTTTTCTACCCCTGCTTTTCCCCATCCTTTATTCGATATTTGTTTTAGATGAATTTCTTGCAAACAGATATTGGCTAGAATTTTTTTGAACCCTGATTACATATAGTTTTTGTTATTCAATGGGGACATTCAAACCAGTCACACTTGTTGTGAATAACTAACACACTCGGACTTTTTCTGTGCCAGCCAGCTAGTCCTGCAGCAGTGAATGCTCTTCACCCCGATCTGTGGCTGGCTCTTTGTTATTTGGATCTCAGCTTCAATTTCACCTCTTCAGAGTGATTTTTTATGACAGCCTAATCTCACATAGTCACCCCATCACTTTCCGTCCCATCACTGTTTTAATTCTCTGCGTAGCATTTGTCGCAATCTTGTTTTTCTGTGAGAGCTCAGACTTTGTTTTGTTCAAAACCAGTGCTTAGTACTTAGAACAGTGCACACAGAAGCACGTAAAAGATGCCCAAAAATACTTGTTAAATGAATATTGAATACATTCTTCTTTCATTTTTTTCACTCTTTAGTATATGTCATATATTATACGTAGATATACTGATATTCATTGTATTTCTTATATTTTCCTTTTCCCGTATGCCTTTTATGCTAGATTCTCTTATGCCTTCCCTTATGCTAGATTGATTATTTTCACTCATCTTCCTCCTTGCCCCCAGAACCACCATATCTAAACCAGTTTAGATATTTTACTCCCTTCCCCCTCCTTCCCTCTCTCTTTTGTTACTAACTTTATATTTTAATGGTAGTATTAATCTGTGTTCTCTGTCAACATAGCAAAAACTAAGCCCCTTCCCTTGTTTTACTTTTTAATTCTAGTCCTGTTCCCGCTTCCTCCATTCCACTCCTCGTCAAGATGACCATATTGGCAATGCTTTCACTTCCTCACTTCACTCTCCCACTCCCAGCTTCTGGGCTTTGTTGGAAAAGTTTTAGATTCTTTTTAAGCTTTTCTGTATAATACGTATTTTTTTCAAAAGCTTTAACTTACTGTTTACAGTCACATTATCATCAGCTGTTTAGATTTGGCCACACATTGTATTAGATTCGTTGATCACATCATCCATCTCAGTCTTAAGGTCTTTGTTTTGATTTCATTTTCTTTTTGGCTGCTGTAATTCCTTGAGGAATTTCCTCAGAAAAAGTACATGGGTAGTGTATTAATTTCCCATTGCTGCTGCTACAAATTACCACAGACTTGAAACAACATAAATTTATTGTCTTATGGTTCTGGTGACCAGAGGTCTAAAATGAGCTTATGGGGCTAAAATCAAGGTGCCAGTAGGGCTGTGTTCTTTCTGGAGGCTTTAGGGAAGAAACTGTTCTTTTGCTTTTCCTAGCTCCTAGAGGCTGTTTACCTTTTTAGGCTCATGCCCCTTCCTGTGTCTTCAAAACCATCAGTGTAATGTCTGTCTGTCTCTCTCTCTCTCTCTCTCTCTTCTCTGCATTGGGCCCATATGAATAATTCATAATGATCTTTTCTTCTCAAGATCCGTAATCACATCTGCAAAGTCCCTTTTACCATTCAAGGTAACACATTCACAGGTTTTGGTGATTATATTAGCCAGGCGTGGTGGCACGCACCTGTAGTCCCAGCTACTTGGGAGGCTAAAGCAGGAGAATCGCTTGAACCCGGGAGGTGGAGGTTGCAGTGAGCCGAGATTGCACCACTGCACTCCAGCCTATGCGACAGAGCAAGACTCCATCTCAAACAAAACAAAACAAAAAAACAGGTTTTCGTAATTAGGAAATGAACATCTTTGGGAGCTATTATTCCGCCTACAACAAGTGGTACAGTTTGAGCATCCCTAATCTGAAAATCCAAAATGCTCCCAAATCTGAAACTTTTTAAGTACCAGCATGATGCTACAATGGAATATTCCACACCTGACCTTATGTGATGGGTTGCAGTCAAAACGCAGTCAAAATTTTGTTTCATGCACAAAGGTATTAAAAAATATTGTGTAAAATTACCTTTAGGCCATGTATATAAGGTGTATTTGAAACTCAAGGTCTTTATGAAGCATGATGAATTTTGTGTTGAGACTTCGGTCCCATCCCCAAGATGTTTCCTTATATATATGCAAATATTCTAAAATCCAAAATTTGAAATACTTCTGGTCCCAAGCATTTAGGATGAGGGATCCTTGTATACTATTTGAGCTCTTGTGTGTCTGAAAAGGTCTGGGTTTTGCTCTTCTTAGCCACCTTTTGGACTTTAGACCCACCCTTTTTGGGGAGAAGGTGAGACCGTCCTCATTTTAAGGAAAATTGTTGTATGTTGTAAAAGTAAGGTTGCTTTTGTTTGGAAGTTCAGATTTGTTTAGGGGGCTGTTTGTGGGTAGAGTAGCTAAAAAGTAGAACATGCCCATTTTAAAGCACTTGTCCTCAGCTCCAAACTATCCCTCTATACTCTTCTCTGATGCTGCAATTGGAATCCACAAATTATATTTCTTCTTTCCACCTGGCTCCCTAAGTTCTGCCAATAGACAGACACTGGCAGTCAGAAGGAAGGAGAGGGGACTTGCTCCCTCCTGACTACCTGCAGTTCCTCACTCCCATACCAGCTTCAGTGACCTTTCTACCTTTTTTAGTCAGTTATAGGATTCTATAATTATGAGCATTTTCTTTGCAAAGTCTATAAATGTTGTCCCACATCTTCTAGCTTCCAGTGAAGGATATGTAATTACTTTTCCCTCTTTATGGACACTTGGAGTTGAGATATTTCACTAGTATAGGACTTATTTCATTACTCCTCTGTGGCATTTTGTAAGCCCTCTGAATCTAAAAACTCAAGTCTTTTTGTTTTTTTGACAGAGAAATCTTTTGGAAGATGAATCAGATGAAGAAGAGGACTTTTTTCTGTAAGTCTTTTTTACAGCTTTATTAGGGTGTAATTGACATATAATACATGCATATATCTAAAGTATACTGTATACATTTTGACAGACATACAGTAGTCTCCCTTATACCTGAGAGATGCATTCCAAGATCCCCCAGTGGATATGTGAAAACACAGAGTAGTAAACCATATATATATATGTATGTGTATATATACATACATATATGTTTTTTCCTATACATACATACCTATCATAAAGTTTAATTTATAAATTAGGCACTGTAAGAGATTAACAGCAAAAGCTAATAATATAACACTTATAACAATATACTATAATAAAACTTTTGTACATATGGTCTCTGTCTGTCTCTCTCAAAATATCATCCTATGCTCACCTTTCTTCTTGTGATGATGTGAGATAATAAAATGCCTACATGATAAGATGAAGTGAGGTGAAGGATATAGACATTATGACATAACATTAGGTACTGTTGGCCTCTGATGATATGTCAGAAGAAGAATCATCTATTTAGGTGGTCTTGGATCATGAAGCCAAGAAGATGTTGATAACTAAAGGGATGAGTAGCATATACAATGTGGATATGCAGGACAAAGGGGTGATTCACATTTCAGGTGGGACAAAGCAGGGCAACTTGAGGTTTCATCATGCTACTCGGAATGGTGCACAATTTAAAACTTACAAATTGTTTATTTCTGGAATTTTCCATTTAATATTTTCAGACTGCAGTTGACCATGGGTAACTGAAACTGTGGAAAGCAAAACCATGGGTGAGGGAGAGCTTACTGTACTGTATACCTGTGACATCATCACCAAAATCAAATAATGAACCATCTGTCGCCCTGCAGATTTCCTCAAAACCCTTCGTAATCCGTTGCTGTCGCAGTCCCTAGGCAACCAGTGCTCTGCTTTCTGTCACCGTAGTTTGTATTTTCTAAAATTTTTTATAAATGAAATCATGTAGTATGCCCCCTTTTTAAAACCTGGCTTTATTCAGCATGGTTTTTGAGATTCATCCATGTGTTAATAGTTGGGTTTTTAATTTTCTGAGTAGTATTCCATTGTATGATGCTGCGGTTTGTTTAGGCAGTCACTTGTGTGTGGATTTTTGGGTTGTTTCTACTATTTGGCTTTTACATATAAAGCTGTTAACAAACATTTGTGTGCAGGTTTTTGTGTGGATATATGCTATTATTTCTCTTGGAAATAAAAATACCTAGGAGTAGAATGGCTGGTGTAAGTTTACAATTGTTTTCCAAAGTGGTTGTACCATTTTATATTGTCACCAGCATTGTATGAGAATTCCAGTTGCTCCATATCCTCATCAACACTACGTATGGTCAGTCTTCTTCAGTCTTTTTCGTTCTAGCCATTCTAGTGGGTGTGTAGTGGTATCTTGTTGTGGTTTTAATTTGCTTTTCCTTAATGACATATGATGTTGAATATGTTAGTGTGCTTGTTTTTCACCCTCATACCTTCTTTGGTGAAGTATGTGTTCAAATCTTGCCCATTTTAAACTTTTTCTCATTGAGTTTTTTTTTGCTTTTTATTTTTATTTTATTTATTATTTTTTTTTTTGAGGCAAGGTATTACTCTTGCTTAGATTGGTGGAGTGTCCTGGCGCAGTCTTGGCTCACCGCAGCTTCAAACTCCTGGACTCAAATGATTTTCTCGCCTCAGCCTCCCAAGTAGCTGGGACTATGGGTATGTGCCATCACACCCAACTATTTATTATATTTATTTATATTTTGCAGAGATTAGGTCTCACTTTGTTTTCCAGGCTGGTCTCAAACTCCTGGCCTCAATTGATCCTCCCACCTCAGCCTCCTAAAGTGCTGGGATTACAGGGATGAGCCACTATGCCTGGCCAAGAGGTTTTATACAAGATACAAGTTTTCTGTCAGATACATGTTCTGTAAATATTTACTACAAATCTATAACTTAACCTTTTCATTTTGTAATAGTAGCTTTTGAAGATTAAAATTTTGATTTTGATGGCATCAGTTTATTGATTTTTTTTCCTATTGTTTTTGCTATTTTTTTCATATACAAGAACTCTTTCCCCAACTCAAAGTCACTAAGATTTTTACCTGTATTTTCTTCTAGGAGTTTTATAGTTTCGATTTTTACATTTAGGCCTACAATCCCTTTTAAGTTAATTTTTGTATATATTTGAGGTAAGGATGAAACTGGGAGAATATGGCCATCCAGCTGTTTCATTGTAATTTGATAAAAAGATCATCCTTTCCCCACTGAATTACCTTAGCATCTCATAAAAAATTAGTTGAACTGATCAATCCTTTGTAGTTATGGAAAGAGTTCTCGAACAGGTCTAGGTTTACATTTGTCAAGTCAGGAAGGACAACGTTGTGGGAGTTTTCTCTGGGGATTGATGTAGAGAGAAATATGCGTGAGAGGAAACATTTACCTCTTACTTTGTTAAAATACTGTAACTTGGCAGTGGCTCACGCCTGTAATCCCAGCTCTTTGGCAGGCCAAGGCAGGTGGATCACAAGGTCAGGAGTTCAAGACCAGCCTGGCCAACATAGTGAAACCCCGTCTCTACTAAAAATACAAAAATTAGCCAGGTATGGTGGCTCGTGCCTATAGTCCCACTTACTTGGGAGACTGAGGCAGGAGAATCGCTTGAACCCAGGAGTTGGAGGTTGCAGTGAGCCGAGATTGCACCACTGCACTCCAGCTTTGGCAACAGAGTGACACTTCATCTCAAAAAAAAAAAAAAAAAAAAAAAAAAAAATTGTGACTTCTTTTATTGAGGCTGGGTTTTTTTCCAAATGAAAACATTTTATAAAAATTAACAGAAACCTGGCCAGGCACAGTGGCTCGTGCCTGTAATCGCAGCACTTTGGGAGACTGGAGGCAGGCAGATCACCTGAGGTCAGGAGTTCGAGACCAGCCTGGCCAACACAGTGAAACATCTCTGCTAAAAATACAAAAATTAGCCAGGCATGGCGGTGTGCACCTGTAAATCCTAGCTACTCAGGAGGCTAAGGCAGGAGAATCACTTGAACCTGAGAGGCGGAGGTTGCAGTGAGCCAAGATCGCAACACTGCATTCTAGCCTGGGTGACAGAGAAAAAGACTCCATCTAAAAAATAAAAAAATTTTTAAAAAAAGAGGAAACCCGCGAAGCAATGAAGAAAGAGCTTACAGGATAGATAGCAACAAATCTAGTAACAGAAAATAGTATCATTTTTGGCAGAATGTCAGATAATGTGGGGAGATAATTTTCTTTTTATTTATTTATTAATTTATTTTATTATACTTTTAAGTTCTAGGGTACGTGTGCACAACGTGCAGGTTTGTTACATATGTATACATGTGCCATGTTGGTGTGCTGCACCCATTAACTCGTTATTTACATTAGGTGTATCTCCTAATGCTATCCCTCCCTCCTCCCCCCTCCCCACAATAGGCCCCGGTGTGTGATGTTCCCCTTCCTGTGTCCAAGTGTTCTCATTGTTCAGTTCCCATCTATGAGTGAGAACATGCGGTGTTTGGTTTTCTGTTCTTGTGATAGTTTGCTGAGAATGATGGTTTCCAACTGCATCCATGTCCCTACAAAGGACACAAACTCATCCCTTTTATGGCTGCATAGTATTCCATGGTGTACATGTGCCACATTTTCTTAATCCAGTCTGTCACTGATGGACATCTGGGTTGATTCCAAGTCTTTGCTATTGTGAATAGTGCTGCAATAAACATACGTGTGCATGTGTCTTTATAGCAGCATGATTTATAACCCTTTGGGTATATACCCAGTAATGGGATGGCTGGGTCAAATGGTATTTCTAGTTCTAGATCCTTGAGGAATCGCCACACTGTTTTCCACAATGGTTGAACTAGTTTACAGTCCCACCAGCAGTGTAAAAGTGTTCCTATTTCTCCACATCCTCTCCAGCACCTGTTGTTTCCTGACTTTTTAATATTTTCCACATCCTCTCCAGCACCTGTTGTTTCTGACTTTAATGATTGCCATTCTAACTGGGGTGAGATGGTATCTCATTGTGGTTTTGATTTGCATTTCTCTGATGGCCAGTGATGATGAGCATTTTTCATGTGTCTGTTGGGAATATGAATGTCTTTCGAGAAACCGTCTGTTCATATCCTTTGCTTACTTTTTGATGGGTTGTTTGTTTTTTCTTGTAAATTTGATTTTTTATAGGTTCTGGATAGATAGCTCCTTTGTCAGATGAGTAGATTGCAAAATTTTTCTCCCATTCTGTAGGTTGCCTGTTCACTATGATGGTAGTTTCTTTTGCTGTGCAGAAGCTTTTTTAGTTTAATTAGATCCCATTTGTCAATTTCGGCTTTTGTTGCCATTGCTTTTGGTGTTTTAGTCATGAAGTCCTTGCCCATGCCTGTCCTGAATGGTATTACCTAGGTTTTCTTCTAGGGTTTTTATGGTTTTAGATCTAACATTTAAGTCTCTAATCCATCTTGAATTAATTTTCATATAAGGAGTAAGGAAAGGATCCTGTTTCAGCTTTCTACATATGCTCAGCCAGTTTTTCCTAGCACTATTTATTAAATAGGAATCCTTTTCCCATTTCTTTTGTTTTGCTGTGGTTTGACAAAGATCAGATGGTTGTTGATGTGTGGGTAATATGGTGACAAGATTTCTCTAGAGTCGCAAGTAATTGCCCACAATGCTACTTGTGGTGCAAAGCCTTGTATCATTAGAGCAGTATTATCTCTCAAAAGGGAACTCAGTTTTTTAAATTTTTAAATTGTTTGCTGATTGATTGACTGACTGAGTATATGGCCCTGGCTTATGTTGGCCAGGATGGTCTTGAACCCTGACTTCAAGTGATTCTCCGCCTCACCTCTGCCAGAGTAGCTAGAATTATTAGCACAAGCCTCTACACCCAGGAACTCAATATTGAATACATACATGGAATTTATTCAGCCTTAAAAAGTTTGGAAGGAAATTCTGACATATGCTAAAACATGGATGAACCTTTTGAAGACTGTTATAGAAGAAACCAGTCATAAAAAAAAGGAAAAATACTGCATGATTCCACTTATATGAGGTACCTAGAGTAATCAAATTCATAGAAACACAAAATAGAATGATGTTTGCCGGGCCTTTGGAGGAGAAGGAATGGTGAGTTAGGGATAGAGTTTCAGCTAAAAGATGAAAAGTTCTAGAGATGAATGGTGATGATAGTTCATTAAGTGAATTACTTAATGCCACAGAACTGTATGCTTAAAAATAGTTAAAATAGTAAATATATGTTATATATATTTACCACAATAAAAATTTATTGACCATATATGTGTGGCTCTATTTCTGGACTCTGTCTTTCTTACATCAATACCATAGTGATCACTGTCTTGAGTACTGCTAATTTTATAGTAAGTTGTGAGGTAGTATAGTGTATATCCTTCAACTTTGCATTGCTCTTTTTCTCAAAGTTCTTTTTGGCTATTGAGGCTCTAAGCATTTTCATATGAATTTAGAATCATCTTACCGCTCTCAGCAAGCCTGCTGAATTTTGGTTGAGATTGTATTGAACCTGTAGATCAGTTTGGGGATAATTCACATTTTAATATTTGGTTTTGAGACCCAATAAATGGTATATCTTTTTATTTATTTGGTTAATTTCTTCCAGCAGTGTTTTGTGGTTTTCAGTGTCCAGATGTTGTATTTTTTTTCTTTGTCAAATTGATCCTTGCCATTTTTCTTTTTTTTAATTATTTTTTATTATTATACTTTAAGTTCTAGGGTACATGTGCACAATGTGCAGGTTTGTTATGTATGTATAGATGTGCCATGTTGGTGTGCTGCACCCGTTAACTCATTTACATTAGGTATATCTCCTAATGCTATCCCCTCCCCTCTCCCCCACTCTTCAAGACAGGCCCCAGTGCATGATGTTCCCTCCCTGTGTCCAAGTGTTCTTATTGTTCAGTTCTCACCTATGAGTGAGAAATATATGGTGTTTGGTTTTTGTATCCTTGCGATAGTTTACTCAGAATGATGGTTTCAGTTTCATCCATGTGCTACAAAGGACATGAACTCATCCTTTTTTTATGGCTGCATAGTATTCCATGGTATATATGTGCCACATTTTCTTAATCCAGTCTATCATTGATGGATATTTGGGTTGGTTCCAAGCCTTTGCTATTGTGAATAGTGCCGCAATAAACATATGTGTGCATGTGTCTTTGTAGCAGCATGATTTATGAAACCCTTTGAGCATATGCTCAGTAAGGATGGCTGGGTCAAATGGTACTTCTAGTTCTAGATCCTTGAGCAGGTAGTCCACCACACTGTCTTCCACAATGGCTGAACTAGTTTACAGTCCCACCAGCAGTGTAAAAGTGTTCCTATTTCTCCACATCCTCTCCAGCACCCGTTGTTTCCTGACTTTTTAATGATTGCCATTCTAACTGGGGTGAGATGGTATCTCATTGTGGTTTTGATTTGCATTTCTCTGATGGCCAGTGATGATGAGCATTTTTTCATGTGTGTGTTGGCTGCATAAATGTCTTCTTTTGAGAAGTGTCTGTTCATATCCTTTGCCCACTTTTTGATGGGGTTGTTTGATTTTTTTTTCTTGTAAATTTGATTGAGTTCTTTGTAGGTTCTGGATATTAGCCGTTTGTCAGATAGGCAGATTGTAAAAATTTTCTCCCATTCTGTAGGTTGCCTGTTCACTCTGATGGTAGTTTCTTTTGCTGTGCAGAAGCTCTTTAGTTTAATTAGATCCCATTTGTCAATTTTTGACTTTTGCTGCCATTGCTTTTGGTGTTTTAGTCATGAAGTCCTTGCCCGTGCCTATGTCCTAAATGGTATTGCCTAGGTTTTCTTCTAGGGTTTTTATGGTTTTAGGTCTAACATTTAAGTCTCTAATCCATCTTGAATTAATTTTTGTATAAAGTGTAAGGAAGGGATCCAGTTTCAGCTTTCTACATATGGCTAGCCAGTTTTCCCAGCACCATTTATTAAATAGGGAATCCTTTCCCCATTTCTTGTTTTTGTCAGGTTTGTCAAAGAGCAGATAGTTGTAGATGTGTGGTATTATTTCCGAGGGCTCTATTCTGTTCCATTGGTATACATCTCTGTTTTGGTACCAGTACCATGCTGTTTTGGTTACTGTAGCCTTGTAGCATAGTTTGAAGTCAGGTAGCATGTTGCCTCCAGCTTTGTTCTTTTGGCTTAGGATTGTCTTGGCAATGCAGGCTCTTTTGGTTCCATATGAACTTTAAAGTAGTGTTTTCCAATTCTGTGAAGAAAGTCATTGGTAGCTTGATGGGGATGGCATTGAATCTATAAATTACCTTGGGCAGTATGGCCATTTTCACAGTATTGATTCTTCCTATCCATGAGTATGGAATGTTCTTCCATTTGTTTGTGTCCTCTTTTATCTCATTGAGCAGTGGTTTGTAGTTCTCCTTGAAGAGGTCCTTCACATCCCTTGTAAGTTGGATTCCTAGGTATTTTATTCTCTTTGAAGCAATTGTGAATGGGAGTTCACTCATGATTTGGCTCTCTGTTTGTTTGTTATTGGTGTATAGGAATGCTTGTGATTTTTGCACAATGATTTTCATAATTTCTGATGCTACTAAAAATAACATTTCAAATGGTGTTTCAAAATTTTAAAATGTCGTACTCATTGCTAGTATGAATATCATTTTTGTAAATTAACCTTGTATTCTACAATCTTGCCAAACCCCCTTAGTAGTTTTAGTAGTGTTTTTATAGATCCTATTGGATTTTCTACATAGAACAATTATACTTTCTACAAATAAAAACAGTTTTATTTCCTCCTTGTCTATGTTTGCCTTTTATTTTTTATTACCTTATTGCTCTGACTAGAACATCCAGTACAATATTGGGTATAGATGGTGAGAGTGAATGTCCTTGCTTTGTTCCTGATCTCCTTTAGGGGAAGCATTCATCTTTCATATTATGTTTCATTTTCATTTTATGTTGTTATGGTTGTTTGTAGATTTATCAGGTTGAGGATGTTTCCTTCTATTCCTAGTTTGTGAAGAGTTTTTATCATTAGCTGATGTTGGATTTTGTCAAGCATTTATTTTGTATCTGTTGAGATGATCATATGTTTTTTGGGTATTTTTGTCTGTGAATGTGGTGAATTATGTTGATTTTGAAATTTTAAACAATTGTTGCATTTCTGATGTAAACCCTACTTGGTCATCATGTATTATTATTTTAAAACATTGTTGGAATCAATTTGTTAAGAGTTTGTTAAGAATTTTTGCATCTGTGTTCATTAGGAGATATTGGTTGGTTGATAGTTACGTCTTTTTCTTGTTGTGTCTTTATCTGGTTTTCATGGTAGATTCATACTGGCCCTGGGATAATGAGTTGGGAAGGTTCTGTCTTTTTTAGTTTTCCAGAAGAGTTTGCATAGCATTCATATTTTTTCTTCATTAAATGTTTGGTAGAATTCACGATTGAACAAATCTAGTCCTGGAATTTTCTTTGGGGGATTTTTTTTAAGTAATTTTAGATCCACAGAAGAGTTGCACAGATAGTATAAAGAGTTCCTATCTACGCTTCACTTAGCTTCTGTTAATAAAGCTTATAGAACCATGGTACATTTGTCTGTAGTGATGTTCCCTCTTCCATTCCTATTACTAATTTATGCCTTCTCTCTTTTTTTCCTAATCAGTCTGGCTAGAAGTTTATCAAGTTTTAATATTCAAAGAACCAGCTTTTGATTTTGTGTTTTTCTATAAGTATTTTGAAGTCTCATGATACTTGATAGATGAAACAGACATAGCTGCTGCTTTTTTTTTAACCTGTAGTGGGATAATTTTAATTCAATAATTTTCAGATTCTATTTCACTTTATATATAGTTTCCTCATTTAATAACTGCTTTTCTTTGTTTTTCGGTTGACCAGCTCTTGTAAGTTCTTGCCTAGTTTTTAGGAATGGCCTCTGCTTCAGAATATTAGTTTTCTCTATGAAATTCAATGTTTAACATCATTTTGGAATGGAATACTGTTCCAGTATTCTGAGGCTTCGCTGGAGCTTAAAAGACTTTAAGGAAAAAGCTTAGAGGAACTAAGGCGAGATGTTATATTCACACTTATACATTATGTTAAATAAGTTTCAGTAAACAGTTTTATTTTGTTTTCAAAATTTTTTTATCAATTGCTGTATTTTTTCACCTCCTTTAGAAATTGCCATGTCTAGAAATTTAAGAACCTAGTTTCTTTTGAGTTTTGTAGTTTATATCTTATTCTCTATCTCCAGAAGAATCATAATTACTTTAACCAAATGTTTTCATTTCAAGAATATTAAAATGGATTGGTTAGGGTGTGATATACATTCAACTACAATAAGGAGATAATAATCTGAGTAATGTTAATATTTTCTTATATTATTTCTTAATATCTTGCATTTCCCTTTTGCTATGTTGATAAGTTTAAGATGAGTAATCAAAAACATACTTAAAATTGTTAGTGTTTTGAATGAGTTTTTCTCTATATCCATCTTTGTCAATCAGCATTTCACTTCGTAGTTTCCTCATTTCATTATAGTCTAAATTCAAGGTGAATTGCACTTTTAGTTCTACAGTTGACCATAAAGATATTAATATTCACTAGCAGTTAAGTAGTTAGGATATTTCAGAGTTTAATGATCAGAACAAACTCTGTGTAACTTTGTTATATAAGATAATATAAACCCTAATTTCTCTGAAAGTTTTAACATTCAGAAGATTAGCTTAATTGTGGCTAGTAATAAGTACCAATGAAGTACAGACATGATTACCTATTATTCAGTTTTACCAGTATCAGTAAAATGTGGTCCCTTACAATAAGTAACTCATCCATGTTTAGAGTTCAGCTTGATTGTTTGCATTTGTGTATACTTTCTCTTTTTTTTGTTTTGTTTTAATCCTATCACTACTAATATGTACTTGGTATGCACTTGTTTTCAGAAGGGGACCATCTGGACCAAGATTTGGACCTAGAAATGACAAAATTAAGCAGTAAGTTTTGTTCATTTGTTTAAATGATTATCATATTTCTGTGTAGACTAGAGATTGGCAAACTGCAGCCTGTGAGCCAAATTTGGCTGCAGCCTGTTTTTGTAAATAAAGTTTTATTGGAACATAGCTATGCCCATTTGTTTTCATATTATCGATAGGTACTGTCAAGCTACAATGGCAGTGTTGAGTAGTTGTGACAAATCTGTGGCAGATTTTATGGCCCACAAAATCTAAAATATCTGCTGAGTGGTCCTTTACAGAAAAAGTTGTTGACCCCTGATAAGACTAAATACAACTGCTAGGTTATAAAAACCTAATTCATTTTATTTTATAGACTAAATATAACTGCTGGGTTATAAAATTCAAATTCTTTTTATTTTCTCAGAATTATAGCTAAAGAAATGCAGGATTGTTGGTTTTTTTAATGACTTGATTACCTTATGTCAAATCCATTTTTTTAGCATAGTCTGAAGGTCTATTTTGTTTTTAAATCCATAGCTTGATTCCTATTTTCAGAATGATAATAAAAGTAATATAATAGATTTAATTTGTTGATCTATTGCATGTTTTTATCTACTTCCAGAATTTTTTCATCTCTCTTATTTATTGTAACCTATATATTGAAGTAAGTTTTATGGCTAATTAATTTGCAGTTTAAAACCTTTGAGGTATATATTATTTGGTGATAGATGGAGATAATATGCTGTAATCAATGTGTCTAAGGTTGGAAAGATACGAGTCCTGACAGGATGGGAGAAGGAATGGAAAGAGCAGTGAGTCACTTGAGGGAAGGCTCTGGAAACTGACCAAGCTATAAAGACTAACTGTGGAAGGTGAACTGCATCGCCCAGGTTCAAGACCTAAGGAGGCATAATAGTCACTACCCTAAGTCTGGGTGTAGATGGCACATTGTGGGAAGGGTTCTGTAATGGTGTATCTAGTTATTGGTGAGATACTTGGGCTTTACTCAGGTAGCTGTTGGCATGAAGAAATATTTCCATACTTAGCCTAATTCTAACTAATGGATTTTGAGATATGGAACCAAAGAACCAACAGATGATTACAAGTACTAGACTGGATGTATTAGTTTTCTATTGCCAGGTAATAAATTGCCATAAATTTAGCAGCTTAAAACAACACACATTTATCACCTCACAGTTTCCTTGGGTCAGGAATTCAGGCACTTCTTAGGTGAGCCTTTTGCTCAGATTTAACAAGATGGCAATCAGGGTATCACCAAGTATGACCAACTCAGATAGTTGTCAGAATTTATTTTCTGCAGCTATAGATTTCATGGTGCTTCTTCAAGGCCAGTAGAAGAGAGAATCGGTACTATTTCAAGTCTCTGATTTGACTAAAGATATAACAAGCCACTTTTAGATGCAATTTATTACTTACGTAGTAAAAGGAAGAGTAGCCAAAGTTAGTAGCTCTCAGGGTCATTGTCCCACACACCAAAAATAATGATACAGCTGGGTGCAGTGTTTCACGCCTGTAATCACAGCACTTTGGAATTCTCCTTCAAAGGAGGATTGCTGGAAGCCAAAAGTTTTGAGACCAGCCTGAGCGACAAAGTGAGACCCCCTTCTCTTAAAAAAAAGAGGGGGGGTGGTCAATGGCTGCAGTACAAATTGTGGGATACTCTATTGCAAAGGAGCTATTTCTAAACTGTGGTTTTTATAGTCTGCACAAAGAGCCTGCAGAAAGTTTATACCTCATCAGAACCTGGGAGGTGATGAGAAACTGCCTTTTGATAGTCTCATAAGGGAAACAGGGAGGTGGATGGAAGAAGACCCCATGAGCCTCTCATTCTCTCATGTTCCAGGGAGATCGCAGGCATTCTACCAAGACTCAAATTAGCTGTAGTTCAAGCCTGTATGGCATATGTGGGTGCCAATGTGTAATGACTGAGCCATTCTCCCCGACTGAGCCAGAGTGACTTCTGTATCAACTCACATGTTCCCTTTTACCTAAGCTGCCACTGGAGAAGAGGGCTCCGCTAATGACACACCTATTTTTTGTCCTGCCAGTATGCTCTGTTTCCTGTCTGATATCCTTCTGAAGAGTGAACCTAGTAAGGAGTGTTGCCGATTGGGGTCTTTTGAGTATGATTTTCCAGCTGAATCCCCAAACCACAACCAGTTGTACAGAGTAGGCATTAAAGAATATATGTCTGTGTTAGTAAATGCCAAACATACACACATGAATTTGTATATGTATATTTATGTATTACACTATTAATATCACAATAACTTTGGTGATCACAGAATTTTAGACTAGTAAGGGATTGTTAAGTATATTTGTGTTTTTACTGTAGAGCTGAAAGCTTGCTGGATCTAATTAGAATAAGGTCATTCATCAAGCATGCATTAAACCTTGATTAATGCTTATCTAAGCAGGACATGACTCACCAGTGTGCCCAAGATGGAGAAGCACAACTTGCCACACAATTTACCCAAGGACAAATCCCTGGCATTATTTTAGTACACAAAATTGCTAGCACTGGTCAGTTTCTTTAGTTAAGCTGTTATCACCACTTAATTTATAACATTTCAATACAGAGTGTTTTCTACTGCATAGATTAGCAACATCGTTGCTTTCTTTGAACTTGGTTGGCCACATTTATTAGTGTTGTTAACAGATTAATCCTACAAAAAATATTTGACATCACTTCTTAGGAAAGACTCTTTTTGAGGAAAATTTTTAAATATTCACTGTCTACATAAAATTTATGCTTCTCTTTGAAATGTTTCCTTTGCTTTTTAAATTTTGCTTTGTTTTTAAAGAGAGTTTGTTCAAGCATAAAGTATGGAGATGGACCACCTGGAAATACCAGCTCCAAGGGAATGGAGTCAGCATTCCAGAGTAGGGATGTTAAGATTTCATTTATATAAGCAGGCAGGAACTTTTAGCAGGATTACATTTCCTTTGCCTTTAAATTAAACAGTAGCATTATAAATGCCACTCTAGTGAATTGTAGACATTCTGTGTTAGGGGTAGGGAATCTCCTAATTATAGCCTTGGTCAGACCAGCTTAACTTTTATGAGATTCCCTCCCCCACATCCCAGGGAATGTTCCATGGTGTAACAGCCATATGTAGTTGCAAAAAATACAGCTTAACTTTAAAATTTCTTTTGTCAGCAGTACCTTAAAAGACCAGAAGATGGGGATATTAACTATGAAAATAAATATTTGATTTCAGGGGTTTTTCGCTTTGTCTGTTTTTTGAAACAGGGTTTTGCTCTGTCACCCAGGCTAGAGTGCAGTGGCACAATCACAGCTCACTGCAGCCTTGAAATCCTGGGCTCAATTGATCCTTCCACCTCAACTCCTGAGTAACTGGAAACTTCAGGCACGTACCACCATGCTTGGCTAATTTTTTATAGAGACGGGGTTTCCCTATGTTGCCTGGACTGATCTCGAACTCCTGGGCTCAAGTGATCCTCCCACTTCAGTCTCCCAAAATGCTGGATTGCAGGCATGAGCCACTGCACCTGGCCATTGTTTTCTTTATAAAATAAGAGGTGCGTATTGCAGAGCATAAATTTGTTTCTTAACTGAAGAGCACTGATATTTATCAAGTATGTGCTATGTGTTAGGCACTATGCTAAGTATTTGAAAAACACTATCTCATTTAATTCTCACAAATAAAGTAGAGCTTATCAGCTTCATTTTAAAGGTGAGAAAACGTGAGGCTAAAACAGACTTGCAAGGTGAATTCCAAAGTCACATACGTAGTAAGTGATAAAGTTGTACTGCAAACCCAGGTTTGTCTGAATACAGAACCCAGGGGTTCTACACTATACCATACAGCTTCTGTGTCGGTAATTAGAATAGAGCCATTTCAGAAACACAGGTGCTCTCAGACTCTTAAAAGGATGGAAAACAGTATTGAAAATGTCTTTTCCTCATTATGTTCTCTCTCATGTCTTTTATTATCTCATATGAATCGCCTTTGACTGGCCATGATATAATATAAAAATCTCCACCCTTCCTTCACAAACTACCTTTTCCTTTGCATTCTTAATTTTTTATTTTAGTTCATAGCCATCGTCTACTACCACTTAATTGCTCAAATTATAAATCTAGGAGTTATCTAGTCTTTTCCCAATTCCTTCACTCACATCAAGTTAATCTCCTAATTCTTAAAATATTGCCTCCTCTTACATATATTTCCTTATCCTAGAACCTTCTCACCATCCACTGCCTCTTTTACTCTCCCTGGTTAACTCCTGACTCCTCCAAACTCAGCACAGGGGTCTTGATGTCGTCTCTGGTCCAGGCTGAATTCATCTAGGCTACATGTCAGATACTGTGGGCTTCCTTCCATTATATCCCTTAACACATGGTAGTGTAATCATGGATATCAGTTTTCCCTACTGAAATATAATCTTTCTAAATACCAGGCTCATAACCTTCATGATGGTAACCTTGATGAATAGCATAATAATAACTTTTTTTTATTCTTAGACACAGGTTCTCAGTCTTGTCACCCAGGCTGGAGTGCAATAGTACAATCTTTTTTTTTTTTTTTTTTTTTAAATTTATTTATTATTATTATACTTTAAGTTGTAGGGTACATGTGCACAACGTGCAGGTTTGTTACATATGTATACTTGTGCCATGTTGGTGTGCTGCACCCATCAACTCGTCATTTACATCAGGTATAACTCCCAATGCAATCCCTCCCCCCTCCCCCCTCCCCATGATAGGCCCCGGTGTGTGATGTTCCCCTCCCCGAGTCCAAGTGATCTCATTGTTCAGTTCCCACCTATGAGTGAGAACATGCGGTGTTTGGTTTTCTGTTCTTGTGATAGTTTGCTAAGAATGATGGTTTCCAGCTGCATCCATGTCCCTACAAAGGACACAAACTCATCCTTTTTTATGGCTGCATAGTATTCCATGGTGTATATGTGCCACATTTTCTTAATCCAGTCTGTCACTGATGGACATTTGGGTTGATTCCAAGTCTTTGCTATTGTGAATAGTGCTGCAATAA